CCCAGGCTGCAGGTGGCGCTAAACCGCTGCGCCACCGGGGCTACCCTCTAGATCTCATTTCTTGACCTCTCACTAGATTATTTGGTCCGTGCTCACTGACGGGACTGGATGGTCACCCAGCCTTGTGTGTTGTCCTTCTCTGTTCTGGCACCAGCTTTACCAAGTGCAGGAAGCAAGCTGAGTGCCCTCATCTTCCATGTCATCTCAGTATGATGCTTGGCTCTCTGAACATAGTTTCTGTAGTTCTGTTTTTCTTTTTCTTTTTTTTCTTTTTTTTAGAGAGGGATCATGCGTACATAAGTGGGATAGGGGTGCTGCACAGGGAAGAGGGGGAGAGAATCTCAAGAAGACTCCCTACCCCGCCCTGGCGAGCACAGAGCCCAACACGGGGCTCAATCTCATGACCTGAGCCAAAATCATGAGTCAGACCCTTCACTGACTGAGCCACCCAGGCACCCCGATGTTCTGAACATTTCTAATGATGTGTCTAGCGATGTAAGTTTCTGAAACACTGGACTTGGACTTCTTGGAGTTTTATGTATTTCATGAATTCTGGAAAATCCTCAGTCTTTATTTCCTCCAATACTGCTTCTTCCTCATTCTTGCTATTCTGTCTGAAAGTCCTATCAGGCATGTGTTGGAATCTGCTTCATTTCTAGACTGCACATCTTTCTTCTGGGCACTAATTCTCTCTTTAATCTACTTATTATGCTGATTCACCTGTTTACTGACTTTTTTTTTTAAGATTTCATTTATTTATTCATGAGAGACACATAGAGACAGAGAGAGAGAGAGAGAGAGACAGAGGCAGAGACACAGGCAGAGAGAGAAGCAGGCTCCATGCAGGGAGCCCAACGTCTCCAGGATCACGCCCTGGGCTGAAGGTGGCACTAAACTGCTGGGCCACTGGGGCTACCCTGTATATAGACTTTTTAATTTTCATGACCATGTTTTTCATTCCAAGAGGTTCACTGGTTCTTTTTCAAACATGACCTGTCTGTTCACAATCCTGATGTAATCTTAAAGCTGGTTCCTTCTTACCCTGGAAAAATTCTCTTATCCTGAAACCTTTCAAAACTTTGAGTGAGAGAGTGCTTATGTTCATTTTTAAATTATAGCACAGAGGTCCACCTGGCCAGGTCTCTGGCTGTCCCAGCATTTGGAGGCTTTCTTTGTGAGGACTGCAGGCCTGAGCAAGGGCAATCCTGACAAGTTCCATTAGGTCTGGTGTTTCCTTACTCAGGAAGCTGCCCCAGTTAAGGCTTCTTCACCAAGTGGGGCTAATACATTGTGTCCAGTGGCAATAGAAAGGATAGACAAAGTCAGGTAACAGTCTTTCTTCCACTTTGAATGCAAATAACTTTCAAACTATAATTATGGCCCAGTATCTCATTCAGGTTTTGATGACACTTCTCATTATCAGAGCAATTTATAGGAAATGACCTGTCTGCCCTAGGACTAGGTTCTGTAAGAGACAACATCTACACTTGGACATCATCGGCTCTTGCCTATAGAAATCCTGAATCTAGGGCAGCCCGGGTGGTTCAGTAGTTTAGCGCCGCCTTCAGTCCAGGGCATGATCCCAGAGACCCACGATTGAGTCCCATGTCGGGCTCCCTGCATGGAGCCTGCTTCTCCCTCTGTCTGGGTCTCTGCCTCTCTCTGTGTCTCTCATGAATAAATAAATAAAATCTTTAAAAAAAAATCCTGAATGTATAATCATCAGATTGCTTGCTTGTCTCTTCTAAGTAGAATGTTTTAGAAAAATAAATAAAAGAAATCAGAAAGTTTCAAAGTTGCATACTGTTTAACTACAGGGAGACCTCCCTGTAAATGCAATTTCTCTCAATCTCATCCCCTTTCCTGCAGTTTTAGGGAATCATAACCTGTCCCCCAACTATCTGAGGCTGGGTTTACTACTCTGGAACAACTCTACTGCGCCACCCTCTTTATAACCAATCAAGGCTAGAGAATGTGGCCCTCAGGGAGTACACTCCTCAGGGAATGCTTTTCAGAAGGTGAAAAGTTTACAGTTTCCAGCTCTGATTTTCACAGGACTAGAATTAAGTTTAAAACAATACTATAAGTAATAAAGGTAAATAAGGGAATCTAAATGTAGACTTTGTAGATGCGTACAAGTATTTCAACTTACCATTCTCTTCTTTGAATGTGAGAAAAATACGTACAATAATTGTGAGTTGAATACAACTAAAACAACCTCTCTTTTAAAACCTGCACAGAGGGATCCCTGGGTGGCGCAGCGGTTTGGCGCCTGCCTTTGGCCCAGGGCGCGATCCTGGAGACCCGGGATCGAATCCCACGTCAGGCTCCCAGTGCATGGAGCCTGCTTCTCCCTCTGCCTGTGTCTCTGCCTCTCTCTCTCTCTCTCTCTATCATAAATAAATTAAAAAAAAAAAACCTGCACAGAGGTCTTTCCAGTTACGTTCTTCATCTTGTGCATGACTACTTGCAATAGGTCACCATAGAGACCAGAGGGCTCCCATTAAAGTAGCAAAGGGGGTTGGATGGGAGGGGTCCAAAAATCTTGTAGAAATATATGAAAATACTTGAAAGGGAACATATTAAAAGCAGAAAACAACATAAAAAGCCTTTAAATAATGCTAGGAAAGGGACAGCGAGATGGAAAATCTTAAAAGAGGTCAAGAGAACGGTTGGCGTCCAGGAGCTATGCAATTTACATAATTTATAGCAGGACTGGAAACGTTCTGGGCTCTTGGGGCATCTGAAAATAACTCCTCCTTCCCTCAGGGGGGGAAGAGAAGTCTCCTACAAGAAGTAAGAGTTTTTGGGCCTTCTGTGAGCTTTTTCCAAATATATCCTTTACAAATGCTTCTTTAAAGAAGGAGGGGGTGGGGCAGGAATATGTGGCGTAGATGATATTCCCTTCAAACTGCATAGAAGTCTACAAAGAAAAATCCCAATGCTCAAAGCACCAGGACTAGCTGGATCTCGGCTCCGGGGCAGGCTGTCACGTGGCTGACGGACGAGGAGGCCCCCCACCCCTCAGGCGTCACAGACCACAGAGCTCTCCCCACGTTATGTAAGAATCACTCTTAGACGAGGTTATCCGGGCCAATCCGGGCACCGCAGAACGCACCAGGAACCGCCTGCGCTAATTCTACCGTACAAGCTAAACGCACAGACTTCTTAGCGTGCCAGTATTCCTCGGGAAAGACCCACGGGTCAGAGGGAAACGCCACGGGCCGAGGGCAGCAACAACTCCCGATCCCAGTGAACGCCCCTAGGGTACCTGCCACAGGTAAGGGCTCAGCACATCTTCAACAGAGACCAACACGACCTGCCACATCCACCCACCGGCCGCGCCCCGGTCTCCGCCACGTCCCAGTCCCCGCGGCCGGACCTGCGGACCCCGTGGGGCAGCGCCCTCCTCAGCTCGCGCCCTCGGACCCCGCTGTCCACATTCCCCCGGCAGGAGCCCTGCGGCCCAGCCCGCACTCACTGTTGTACTGCACCCCCTTGGCGAAGCGCCTCTGCAGGGCCTGGTTCATGGACTGCAGCCCGGCGGGGATATTCTTGTCGCGGCCCGGAGCCTGCTCCGACCCCACCAGCTTCTTGAGCGCGGAAAACATCTTCCCGCTCCCACGTTCGAGCCCGGCGCGGCCCGCGAGCTCAGCGGCGGCGGCGGCGGCGGCGGCTCGGCGCGGATCGCACCATGTCCTGAGTCCCGGCGGCCGGGCGCCTGCTTTGAGGGCGGCTCGCGGGCTCAGCCGCGGCGGTTCCGCTCCGGCCCCCGCGACCCCCGGCGCGATCGCCCTCCGTCTGTCAGAACCGCCATCTTGGCGCTGGCTTGACGAGGCGCGCGGCTACGGGGTGCCGCGAGGGCCAAGACGATGCGCGCATGCGCGACGGGACGCGCGCGGAGGCGGACTCGGCGTGGCGCGCCGCTAAGGGGCGCCGTGAGGGCCCCACTCGGGCGGTGGCGCGGGGGCGTGCGCATGCGCATGCGCGGGGCGGCACGGGCGGAGGTGGGCGTGGAGCCACGTCCGGCTTCCGGAGCGGGCGGGACAACCGTCAGCGTTCCTCGCCGCGCTCCCGGTCCCCCCATCCGGGACCCCCCACTCCGCGGCCCCCCTCCGTGTCGGGGCCTCCTGCCCGCGGTGCCCCCAGCAGTCCTGGAAAAATGTTTATTCGTGTCACAAAGCGCCGGCCTGGGGGCAGGCGGGGCTCGCCTTCCTGGGGTTACTTCTTGGCCACCTTGAGCCGGCCGTCGATCAGCCGCTGGGCCTGCCGCTTGATCTCGGCCCGCGAGGGGACGTAGCTGTGGTCCACGTCTGCGAACAGGAAGGTTTCTGGGAGGGGGGGTCAGGGAAGGAAGGGGGCCCTGCAGCCGCAGCTCCAGCCGTCCCCGCTGCCCCCCACCTTCTCTGTGGGGGTCTTCGCACCCCGGGAGAGGCCACCGCTGCTGCAGGGCTGGCCGGTGCTTAGCAAAGGCAGGAGCTCGCCGCTGGCGGTTCTCAGCAAATAGCGGTCCCGAGCCCACACCTGGACTTGCTTTATCAAACTCTCACCCCCTGCCGCAATCAGCCAAGGCCAGGCCAGCTGGGAACAGCCCTACACCCCAACCCATGGGAAGCTGCTCACCCTGCCCTCCTCCCTTCCTGCAGAAACCCCAATAAGGGCTCTGGCCTAGGACGTCCGCTCCCACTTGTCAGGAAGCCGAATACGTCCCCCGTCCTCCGTGTCCTCACTAAGTCACTTCCCTCAATCAAAATCCCGTGGGTACTGGGGATAACCCTTTTCCATCCCTGTGGCTCCCACTGTGTCTCCAGGCTGTCTGGCCAGAGAGCCATCTGCCCCCACCCCGGGGGGTGGCCTGGCCCTCCAACCATGAACCTGTACCTATCATATCCTCTTCCAGGTCCTCAAAGCTGATCCTGGTGTTCTGCTTCTCCTTCAGAGTGGAGGACTCCAGGGTATCCTTCACCTTTGTGTTGACCTGTCAGCTCTGAGGGTAGGTGGGATGAGTAGGCACGTCCAGCCTAGAACTACCTCCTCATTGATGGACAGATTCTGCACTTGGTCAGCCAGGTACAGGAGCTTCACTTCGCAGTACGCCAGCTTGCTGAACACATTCAGGCTGTCAGAGAGCGCCACTTCTTTCTGTAGGCCAGGAAAAGGATCCTGTCTCTCCTCTGGGTCCTCCCAGGGACTCATGCCGGCAGTGCCATTCCACTGCAGCCGGTACCTGGGCTGTGGGCAGAGGGATGCCAATCAGCCGGATGGAGAGGTTGTCAATGCCTGTCTGGATGGTCAACAGCAGCTTCTGGCTCTTGGCCATGCTGGAGTAGGCCACCTGGAGCCACTCTTCCTCCTCCTTCAGCATGTCCTTCATTCTCTTCTCCATAGACTTAAAGCTGTGGAAGCGAGGGGGAGCGGGGTGGCTCAGACTCATGGCCAGGTGGCCTCAACCCAGAGTTGGGCGCTAAATCCAGGGGCTCCAGAGCTCTGACGTGGGCATGTGGCAGCCCCTGCTGGGGCCTCCATAGTCCGTAGACCTGTGGACCCAGCTGGGTGGCCCTGGCACAATGCAGAGGCATTTCGGGGTACCTGATGGAGCTGGGCGTCTGGCGGAACTTAAGCATCACCTCCTCTACTTCCAGTTTCTTCATCAGCGCCTCCAGCTGTGCCTGCCGCTCCTCACAGTCCTCCATCTGCAGCTCCAGGTTGTCCTCTGTGTTTCTCTGAGCCAGGAACCGGCCAGCGATGTCCTGGTGGGGCCTGTGTGGGGAGGAGCAGGTGTGGGCCAGGTGGGCACAAGCCCCACAGTATTGGTCTCTTCTGAGTCAGGGATGATGCTGACCGTGGCCAGGCACCAGGTGTAGCACTTGATGCGAGTCACCACATGTGACCCATGCTTCAGGCAAAGAGGACAGATGCCCCAAGGCAGAGACCAGGAGACCACCCCTGGAAGACTGCCTGGCTTGGAGCCACTTGTCTCAGGATGGACAAGCTTATATCAGGGCTGCTAAGGCTTAACTAATAATAAGCCCAGATCGGATTAAACTGAGGGCCAGGCAGAAGTGGCTTCTCACTATAGTCCTAGCCCTTTGGGAAGGGATGTAGTTGTCGGCAGAGGAGGCAGCCCTTGGATCCTGGATCCCAGCAGGCTCCGCATGCCCCCTGGAATGCGACTCAGGCCAGAGTGTGCTCTGCTCCCTGCCACAGGGGCCACACCTCCATGTCCCCTCATTCAACGGGCTCAGCTGGGTCTTGGGCTGTGGCAGGGGCTCCCTGCCTTTCACCCACACCCCAGGAGAGCCTGAGGGCAGTACCCAGAAATGAGTGCACCGCACAGCAGACTTCACTTTCTTTTTTTTTTTTTAAGATTTTATTTATTTATTCATAGAGACAGAGAGAGAGGCAGAGACACAGGCAGAGAGAGAAGCAGGCTCCATGCAGGGAGCCCGACGTGGGACTCGATCCAGGGTCTCCAGGATCATGCCCTGGGCTGCAGGCGGCGCTAAACCGCTGCGCCACCGGGGCTGCCCCAGACTTCACTTTCTCCACCAAAGCTGTGACTTCTATCTGGTATTCGATGTCGGCCTTGGAGATCTCTCTTCTCCTCACTGGGCAGAGCAGAAGGGAAAGGAAGAAAGGCTGGCATGCAGAAGTGGCTTGGGAGCTCTGCTCTGGGCCGTCAGTCACTTCTGTACATGCCCAGGCATCAGGGGAGGCCACCAGCAAGCTGCCTGTCCTTCACCTGCTCCCCCCTCCACTGGCCCTTCTGTCTAGAAGCATCCTGGTCCATGTGGGTACTTTGTGGTACTTCTCTGAGGCAGCACAGGGGCCCAAAAGGCTGGATTTATCTCTTTTGAGGAATCACTGGGTGATTGAGCCCTGGGGTTCCAGGGGATAGCTGAAAAGCTGGGGACCCAGCCGCTCCTGGCAGTGAGCCCAAGGCTGGGAGCAGTGCAGGGCAGTGTGGGCTGGGGCTGCTGGCACTCTGCAGGTAGCACTGCAGGGAGGCAGGGTTGCCCTGGCCTCACAGAGACCTGACAGGATGGCCTGAGCTGGTGCTGGCCTCTTGGGACCCTGGCTGGGGGTGGCAGAGGGCTGAGCGCTCACCTTTCAGTTTCTGTACCCATCAGATTGGAGGGGAGTCCAAGTCCCACCAGCCCTGGAGGGAAGGGGGATGTGAGGTGAGCAGTCCCCCTCTGCTGGGGAGGGGCCCGCCCAGCTGTCCTTGCACTGCAGAGGGTACCCTGCAGGGACCTACCCGGCGGTGGTACTTCTCATTGGTCTCCTTCATATGGATCTTGTCAATCAGCTGCTTCTGCTGATTCAGCCAGTTCTCCCGTGTCCTGCGTTCCTTGATGAAAATCGCCTCCCCTTGCCTCATGTTCATCTGGGGACCCAGGAGGTGGGACAGGGTCATGTCTCACCAAGGCCCCATGGAATCCTGTATTCAGATTCAGACCCCATCTTCTAGATGTGGGAGGAACATCTGAGGCTCTTGGCTGTGCCCTCCTCCCCTAAACACTGGGTGCCCTCCACCGACCTCTCAACTTCCTCCCCCCTCCCCCCACCTCTGAGGAACCTTCACCTGATGCCCCTCCAGTCACAGCTTGGGGATGACCAATTCTCCCTGCAGCCCAGGCTCCCTGCTTCCTCGGCCAGTTCCACCAAGAACTCTCTCACATGGGGAGTGTTTGCACGTGTCTAAAGGGAACTCGGCGTCTTCCCCAACCCCGTGTTTTCCCCTGTGTCCTGCTGTGGTGGCTGAAGCCATCATCTATCTGCACCTGCCTAAGTGTCCTGGATACTGCTCTCCCCCTCCCCATCCACATCTGACTGGGCGCCAGGCCTCAGGGGGTGACCATTAGAGACCTCTGGGCCCCCTGACACTCAGGCACCCAGTTTTACCACTGGTCTGTCCCAGGTGACTAGCATCTGGACTCTGGTTCCCCTGGGTCTCTGCAGCCTGTTTTTGAAACACAGATCTGATCCCATTGCCCTGTATCTGGTCCCAGAGTTTCAGGATGGGTGGGGAGCCACCCTGCGGCCTCACTGGCTCACAGGCTCCATTCTTCTGCATCTTCTCTGCTCTGGCCCCTTGTGTCTCCTTTGGCATGGTGATGCCCCGGGACCTTTGTTTTCCTTTGTCTTCCAGGATTCGGATGCCCCTGACCTCCAGAGCTCCACTCAAGCATCATCTCTCTGAGCAGGTGAGTGCCCCAGGGTGGCCCCACATCACCCACTCCTCCCTCTGCAGCACTGGCCCAGGGCTGTATGATATCTCCTCACAGACTACTGGATGGCTTCTTACCCTGCTCTCCTCGTGAGGATGATGCAGGGGCTTTGAGTAGGCCTTGGCACAGACCGGGTGAAGGGCCGGGTGAATTCCCTCTTGTGTCTACCTCAAGGCTCCCTTGCCTGGTGGGACCCTCTCCATCCAGGGCCATCGTGTGTGTGTGTGTGTGTGTGTGTGTGTGTGTGTGTGTGTGTGTGAGGCAGCTAGTAATTGCAGACAGGATGGGTTTGGGGGTGTTCCTACAAACCCTGGGCCAGATGGGTATGTGAGGGAGCCCTGCAGGACCCCAGGCCCTATGGCTCCAGCTCACCTTGACCTCATCCGTGATCATCATGGCATCTTGGGACATGACTGTCATGTCTGACAGTTCTGAGCAGTAGTCGTCCATGAGATTCTGCAGCTTGTCCAGCTCTGTGGGGTACCCTGCCACCTCCTGCATTGAAGAGGGCAAGAGCAGGGGCACCTGTGGCTCAGCCGGTTCAGCGTCTGACTCGTGATTTTGACTCAGATCATGACATGAGATTGAGCCCTGCTGGGCGTGGAGTCTGCTTAAGATGCTCTCCCTCTCCTTCTGCGCCCCCCCCCCACTGTGCACCCTCTTTCTCTAAAATAAATCTCAAAAAAAAAAAAAGTTAAAAGAAAGGGGCCAGAGCAAGTGGACACAGAAAGTGACGGCTCGGGAGCCACAGGCCAGCCAGCCAGATGCTGCCCTTCCAGAGTGGTCCGTGCCTGCCCCCAATTACGTACCCCAGGCTGTGAGCCCCGAGGACAGGGATGGGGTGTCCCACTGTGTGGGAGGGGTTGCAGCCCAGGAAGCCTGCTATTGGGGAGTGGCTGCTGTCTGAAGGGAGCAGGGAGGCTTGAAACAAGGATGTGGGGTCAGAGACTCGGCTCAAAGTCACAGCTGCCCCTAGCAGCTGGCTCTGGGAACTTGGGAAGCCACTTAACCTCTCTTGAGTGTCCCTGAGGTTCATAAATACCAATATATCTGAGTCTTAGTACTTGGCTGTTAATAAGTATCATGTAGAATCATTGCTGACCATGGGAGTTATTTTTTTAAAAATGCATATATACTGGGGGTGCCTGGGGTCTCAGTTGGTTAAGCATCTGACTCCTGATCTCAGCTCAGGTGTTGATCTCAGGGTCATGAGTTCAAGCCCTGTGTTGGCTTAAGAAAAACAATGCATGTGTTCTGAAAAGAACATGGCCCTGTGCGGGGACATAATGCTCCCAAATGAAGGACGGCTGGACCCAGGAGTATAGCCGGAGGAGAAGGGGTGTGAGGAGGTGGGCCCAGGACAGTGAGGTGGCAGGGCCTCCAGCAAGAGGGACAGGCGGGAGGATCATAACACCTGCCTCTGTGGGCTACAGGCAGAAGCTGGGGGCTGGGACTTCAGCCAGGAGGAGCTGCAATGCCTACCCATCCCACTCCCACCCTCCTAAACCACATGTCCACCTGTCACCTCCTTGGATACACTGCCCTCCAGGGCTCCCCCCATGCCAGCCTCAGGATGAGGCTGCCACACTGCCTGCCCCGCCTGCCACACTGCTTCTCACAGCACCAGGGCACCACTGGCCAGCCCTCCTGTCCCAGGTCCTCCTCCTCCCCACAGTGGGGCTGTACTGCAGGTCTCTCCTGCTGGGGGAAGGGTGGCTGGCTTGGAAGAGGTGGACAGCAAGCCCAGGGTTACGGGCCTGCTCACAGGTGGCTGGCCCTCTAGGACGTTAGGGCTCTTTCTGAGGGTTCAGGGCCCATTTTTTGCCCTCAGAAGCCAAGCAAATGACAAAGGATGGGGCAAAATAACAACCATCAAATAAATGCAAAGAAAATCCAAACAATTCTGATGTATCCGGCCTGCCTCAGCCCTCTGTCCCCGCTGAGATGCTAGCCCTGCACCTAGGCTGGGGCCTGAGACTCCTGCACTCATGGCCAGGTAGCTTCCCTGCACTGCTGAGGTGTGGGGTTAGGGGCTCACCTTCTTCAGGTAATCCAGCAGGTCTACGTACAGCAGGTGGATGTTCTGACTTGTGGTGATCTTGATCATGGTCTTTTTTTTAAAATTTATTTTTATTTATGATAGACATAGAGAGAGAGAGAGGCAGAGACACAGGCAGAGGAGGGGGAGAAGCAGGCTCCATGCTGGGAGCCCAACGCGGGACTCGATTCCGGGACTCCAGGATTGCTCCCTGGGCCAAAGGCAGGCGTGAAACCGCTGAGCCACCCAGGGACCCCCCTATCATGGTCTTTTCAATGTTGTTCTCCAGCTGGTGGATAATCTGGGGGTGGCCCGAGGGCACACGGTGCTTGGGGACAGACCACCTGGATGGCCACTGGGAGGCTGACCCAGGAGGCTAGGAGGGTGGGAGGGTGTGTGTGTGTGTGTGTGGTCTTTCATCTGACCCCGCCCCTCCAAACGTCCCACCTGTCATCGGAAACCCTGCCCCTTGACAGAGCCCCGCCCCGCCTTCCACCTGGAGCACGCGCAACTCCTTGGTGGCGTCAGGCTGCCTCAAGGTGGACAACTCCAGCTGCACGGTCTCCAGCTTCTGCCCCCGCTGCCGCGCCAGGTGGATGAGCACGTTGTGCACGTTCACGAGGTCGAAGACATACTTGCGCAGCTTCTCCCGCGCCACCTGGGTCGGGGACGGCATGGCCCGCTCGTGGGTGCGCAAGAGGCTGGCGCGGCGGGATCCCTGGGGTCGGGCCCTCGCTAGGCCCGCCACTGGCCCCGCGACGTCATTTTAGTGGTGGTGGGGGTGCTGGCTGGGCGAGGCTGAGGGCTGCTGAGCTGGGGGGTGCCCTGGTCTCTCGGGTACCCTAGCCTCAGGCACTCTCCGCGGGCCCAGCATTGAGGCCCCCATCCAGCCTCCCAGCTTAGAGGTGGTGGGAGCCTGCAGAGGAGGGCCCAGGCCTCCCCTCCGTAGCCAGATGGCCCGAGGGCCCTGATCTGTAGGGGGTAGCCCCCCGAAAAGGACCCCAGTCAGGCCCACCCTGCCTGCCAGGCTTTTGGGAGTGACTGGAGCCAGGATCACAGGTCCCGGGAAACCCTTCCCCGAGATGCCGCCAGGATCCGGACAGGTTAGGGGAGTGAAGAAGAGGAGGTGCGTCCCCTCCGCCTGTGTGTGGGATTGTTTGAGCACCTGCATGCCCTGCCACCCCCATCCCCGCCAGCGGACAGCAGGGAGGGGGCCACACTGCTCACATTGTTGGCCAAAACCCAGTCCTGGGTCCCACGGCGGATGTTGCTGCGCAGGAGAGCCAGCATATTTTTATTCTTGACGGTCTTCTCTTTTACGGCTTGGATTTGCAGGGCCCAACGTTGCTCTGGAGGAGGTGGTGGGTGCAGGCAGGGGGCGCAGAATGTGGGCTACAGGCTGGCCTCGCCAGCGGATTCCTGAGCTGGGGAGGCTCCACATCAGGGAGGCCCAAGGGGGGTGGGCACAGGAATGCTGCCTCTGCAGCCAGGGTCCTTCCTCCCACCCCCTTAGGGTCACTGGCTTCACTGCTCAACAGTGCTTATTGGGATGGCTCCTGGTAGATGGCTGTGGGAAGGGTGAGGTGGCAGCCAGAGATGGCACGTCCTGTGAGCCCTTCCAGACCCACCACCAGGGAAGCAGGCCAGTCCCCTCTGGCTCACAGATCTCCTTGAAGCCCCCTGCATGGCATGCCCCTTTGGTCCCTTCTCTGAAGTGTGCTTCGTGGGGGGAGTGCGTAGGGGAATGGCCACTGTCCCTTGTTTGCCCTGGACTTGCTAAAGCCCCTGAGACCAGGAGGAGACCAGATAGGCTGGTCCCCTGGGGATGGGCTCACCTTGGAGCCGAGTGATTGTCTTCAGCTCCTGGATCTGCTCTTCCATATCTGCCTCACTTCGCATCTTCATGGTGGCCATCAGGGTCCTCCAGGGACCTTCTACACCTCCCGCCCTCCCTGTGCTGGGCCTGCTCAGCAGAACCCTGTGCGGCTCAGATTGTCGCTGGAATCTTGGCCCATTGTGACGGGGGCCGAGGTTCTCAATGTCCAGTTCAGGGAGCCCTGGAGATCTGGACCTGGCCCACCCCAACCCCTTCCCTGGCTAGCCTTGGGATTGTCCTCTGGATGCTTGAGTCTTATGGCAGCTCTCTGCCTGGGAGTATCAGTGCTCCCTTTTTCCTCAGATATACAACTCCTGTATTTTAGTGGGACACATGGCCTCCCAGAACAAGGCTGTCTCCCTAGGCTCCCTGGCACCAGGGGTACCACGACTTTGTTTTGGCCGAGGGAGTGTAAGTGCAGGTGGAGTCAACTGTCCTCCTCCCTAGTCACTGGGATGAAGACAGGATGGCTGGAGCTGGCACAGCTGCCTGGGACCGTGAGGCAGATCTGGAATAGAGGCCATCAGGAGGTGGCACAGTCCTTGACCACCTGTCTGCCCCAGACCACTCCAGCTCCAGCTTGCTTGCACCATGATTATCTTGGGCTTCCTATCATTTTGCCTTCCCACTAATACGTTCCCTGGTCCATAGTCAGTGCTCAGTATTCTTTTGGATGACTGGCCAGGCCAAGAGGTGCAGGAGTTGAGCTGGGGCTGGAGCAGCGTGGTCCTGTGTCGTCTGCCTTCAGTGTGACTGGGAAGGCCATTGTATGGGACGATGGATTTGCTAGGTTTTATGTGCTCCGCCTCTTCCTCTATCAGAGGTGGGGTATGTAGTCATGCCCACTCAGGAGCAGAGAGGACTTCTTCAAAGGTTTGCTCAAGGTTGGCAGACCTGGCCATGCACGTGTGCAGGGGACCTCTTCTGTGCAGAGAGGACTCCAGTGAGCTAGCTCTGGCCTCCCTCCACCCCTCACTTCCTCCTCCCTTGGAGAGAAGTGACTTATCTGGTAGGTGTGCTTGGAATGGTAGGCAGGTACGCATGGCCACTTCCTGTCTCTTGCCTCTTGAGGGCCAGGCGTGAACTGGACACACACCTTCTGCTTTGCTCCTCCATGCCTAGATTCGTGGAAGCAGACCCCACCTGGAAAGGCCCTGCGGGTGGTCATCTGCAGCCCAGAGGGCCTGCAGAACTGATTCTGGGGCCGTGTCAGAACTGCCCTGGCAGGTCCTCAGTGTCCGCTGTATGGTGCTGAGGTGACATGTGTCTCTCAGCTTCTTACTGCTCTGATGTTTAGTGTTTCAGAACTTAGGAGGAAAAAGGCAACACATTTATTTGTCCAGCAACCCCCCCGAAGCCATTGTCCCCTCTGAGTGTGGGACATGCGGGGACCAGACAGGGAGTATCAGGCCCCAGGGCATGCAGAAGTCCCTTCTACCAAGTGCCCAGGGTCTCTCTGGTCTTGTCCATTTCTCAGTGTCCACCATGCTTCCTACTGCCCTATGGGAGGCCAACCACCGCAGGGATGGCCTCTCTGGTCTGATCTGGGCAGGGGCATGAGCAAAGGTTTGCTCAGGGTTGGCAGACCTGGCCATGCACGTATGTAGGGGACACCGCTGGGTCACCCCTTAGGGTGTGAGGAGGGCCTATGTGAGGGGGACGGGGGAGTGTGGGGTGCGGAGGCCCTTAGGGCTGTGTTCTAGAAGTTTCTGGCCCCAGGTCTTCTGCTCCCAGCTGGAGCTGTCCTAGCTGCGCTGATCTGTAGGAGGCAAAGGGACACAGCTGGAACCACAGCTTAAGCTTGTTCACCAGGCCTCGACCAAGAAGGACGCTTGCTGTATGCCACCCTCGGGGGCCACACTCCACATTCTGGACTCCCCTGCCCCTCCTGCATAGGAGGTCAGAAGGCCACCCACTCCTGCCCCTCCAGGTTGGACAGGCTGGAGCAGAGAGGCCTGTGCAGCCTGCACCCTGGGCCCCAGGCTTGCCTGGCACTAGAGTCTCGGGTTCTGATTCCCGCTGCCCTGGCCTCTCACCTGTGCCCCCGTCCTTGGGGAGCTGCCCTGTCTCCAGGAAGAGCCAGAGATTGCTGCATCTGTGCGACTCCACTCGGGTCACCCAGTAGCTGGCCATTGAGCCTGTGACTGGGGAGTGGGGTGGGGGGGTGGCGGGTGGTGTGGGGGGTGGGCCTGGGTCTCTGGACTTCTCAGGGGATGGGGACCTGGGCACAGGCTTCTTCCCGGCAGGTGGTGGTGGTGGGCTTGGCAGGACTCCCCCCCCCCCCCCAGAACTGGGACCACATCCCAGGAGGTCGGGAGGGGCCAGACCACAGCCTCCCATCCCCAGCAGACCTGCATCCCCTCTGGCAGCAGCCCTGGAGTACCCACCCACGGCCACTAGCACGTGCCACTGGAAGGGGTACGGAAACCTCCTCTGAATAAGCATCTGCAGGCCGACGGCTGCACCTGTGCCTGCCGAGAGTCAAGGTCCCCATCAGCCCTATGGGCGGGTGAGTGACCCAGCACCGGGCAGGCTCCCAGCATCTGAGTCTGAGGATGGCCCACTGACACCGCCTGTTGGGGGTCTGGGGTCCCAGGCGGGTGCGGTCTCCCCAAGCCCGCCAGCCTACCTGTGATAAAGGTGAAAATGCCCTTTAAGAAGGCCTCCGACTGGCACGCGGTGTACTCCTCCAGACCCTGGATGCGGGGGTGAGGCTCAGTCCCCTCCCTCCGCTTTCACAGGCCCTCCTGGCCCTCCTTCGGGGAGGGGACCACTCATCGTGAGGCCTGGGGGCTTGGACACATCCCACCTGCCTCCACCCTGGTTGCCCTGATCGATCCCTCTAACAAGGAGGGTCCCCGCCATCCCTGTCCGGTCCCTCCTCCCTGACGTGGGCATCCCTCCCACCGAGCCCCCACCCGCCCCGCTCAGGTCAGCTTCTGAGGTCCGGGGCCCGCGTCCCAGATCGGCCTTCTCACCGGGTGCTTGGCGGCCACGGTGTCGTCCACCCGGGACAGGCCCAGGTTCACCATGGCTGGCGGGTCCAGAAGAGCAGGCGGGAGGAGCCTGCGCAGACGGGCGGGGGGGCGGGGCCTGAGCTGAAGGGTGGGGCGAACAGAGGGGCGGAGCCTGCGCAGAAGGGCAGGGCGGATAGGGGGCGGAGCCTGTCCGGAATGGGCGGTGGGGCGGGGCCACGCAGGCAGGAGGGGCGGGGCTGGGGCCTGAGAGAGTGGTAAACGTGGAGGTCTGCGTGATGGTGGGTCGTCTGGGAGATGCGACCCAGATGGCCTTTGCAGTAGAAGGGGAATGAGGCTGGGTCCTGGCCAGGTATCCTGGGGGACAGTGGACAGCAATTTAGGTGGCAGGTCATGGCTTCAGAGACGGATCCCCTGCGGATCTGGGACAGGTCTAACTCACCTGTGCTCCCAAACACAGTGGAGGACCCAGCTACTTGCTGGCCTGAGGATGAGGCCAGGCCTGGGCACATTTCCTCGGTGGGGGCAAGGTTGGGCATTCTGGGAGGGGCCAGATTCCTCCTTTGAGGCTCTGGCTTGTCACTAAATGGTCATGTTGACCTTAAAAATAAAAGTTATTTTACCAGCAAATATGAGTTTATTGGTGAATTGCAGAGAATTGCAATTATAATGTGCAAGCCAAAGCAAAACCGCAGACAAGTCTGACTAACAAGGACTGGAGACATTATTTTATGGAGAAGGATGTGGGAGGGGCTGTCCTGAGCCCCAGCCCTCCGGGTAAGTTGCAGAGGGTGGATCTCCTGTGGGAGAGGCAGTGACCATCTCCCCCTGGTGGGCCTGGACGATGATCCTTCCTGTCGCTGGCTCCCCTGCAGGCCAGCAGAGCCGGGGTCAACTTGGGAGATGGCCACCTAGTCCTGAGCCCCCAGGCCCACTACCTTCACTGGTGTCTGCGCCCTAGGAAGGCTGTCCTGTGCTGCCCACGCTCCATGTGCTCGAAGAGCTGCTTCTGTCTTCCCAACTACCTGCCTCCCGCAGGCCGCCTCCTAGATAGTGTGTGAGCAGGTGGGCCCAGGGCCCAGGAAGGGAAGAGGCAGAGGAGGGCATGATGGTGCAGAGAGCAGGCCACCCCGTTTCCCAGTGCATCTGGGTCCCCCACAGGAGACTATCACTAATGGCGGATCAGCCTGCACCTGCCTGGCCTGGCCGTGCCCTGTCCTGGAGATTGCACCACCCATTCCTCACAACTCAGCTTCTCCCCATGAGAAGGGGGCCCAAGAAAGTGCAGACACTCCACCTCAGCCAGTCTGTGTGCTCCTGCCCTTCTCCAACATGCAGCACCCCTCCGCACCCTTCCACTCCCATCTGGGGTCCTTCGGAGAATCACAGTCATCACACGCAGTTGGACACAGGCCTGCCCTGCTGGCCCAGGTTAAGTGCTGAGGGTAGCATTCCCTTCCCCCTCCTCTCCCCCTCCCTCTCTCCTCCTTCCTTCCTTTCCCTTCCCTCCACCCCTCCCCTCCCCTGCCCCACTTTTCCTCCTCCCTCTTCTCATTCCCATCAGTGTGGCTGCCCCAGCAAAGGAGCCCCAACAAATGGGAGGATTCCCAAGGCCTGAAGCAGAGGCTGATTGGAGGCAGGAAGTGTGGTCCTGGGTGGTTGAGGCCACCCCCTGAGCCCTGCAAGTGTCCACATGGCTGAGGGCTCTCAGGCCTGCCGTCAAATGCATGACACCCCACCCCAGGAGCCACACCCTGTATACTGAAGCTGAAAGCTGGGGCAGGGTCCCTGGGTGGCCCACAGCCCGTAACTAGGGTACGGATGATAACTGAGGGACAGGAGCACTGAGGGCAGTTGCCTGGTTTGGATTCCAGGTGGTTCCAGGTGAGGGTGAGGGCAGGACCCCTCCTGAAGCCCTGCAGATGTGCCCAGCCCTGATCCATTTCCTGGAGGGACATGGAGGACACAGGCAAGTTAGGAGAAAGTACACAGTGTGTTTACCCAGATGAGGGTGAGCATAGGAGACTCTGAGGGCCAGGGCAGGAGGCTAGAGCTCAGAGCGGCCGAGCAGAGCACCCCAGGTCACAGGGTGGAGGAGGGACCGGTTCCAGTATGTAGAGGGGCACTGTGTGCAGGTGAGGTCCCGGGGACCACAGGGGGGACCTGGCCAGCACACAGGAACCTCAATTCCCCTCCCAGCTCCTGCTGGGGCTCCCTGGGGCAGAGCCCAACTGGGCAGGGGGCCCAGGGGCCCTTGACATCGTCCACACTGTTTGGGCTCTCTCTGTGGTCAGCAGGGTGGAGACTCGAAAGCCCTGGAGATTCTTTCTCTTCCCCTGAGGACAGTGGTCTGGGATTAAGAAGTACTGTGGGAGCAGAAACCTGGCTGGGCTGGGCCTGGGGGAGATGGTCAACAGCCCTGACCAACCACAGCCAAGAGAGTTTACTGAAGGATGTTGGGGCTCCTGGGTTAGCAGGGAGGTAGGGAACCAAGCGAGTGGGAACTGGGGCAGCCCTGTGGGCTGGTGAGCGGGATGGAACAAGAACCTCCAAGGGGAAGTGTTGGGTCTGAGCTGCAGGTACGAGCTCCAGCCAGCCCCCGAGTTGCGGCCTTCCTCCTCTCGGGGCTCAAACCCCAGGGCAGACCAGAGGGACCGTGGGGCGAGGGGGCAGCTCTCCACACCTGTGCCCCTTAGTCTTCACAGTGTGGTGCTGGGAGGGGAAGAGGCAGGGCAGTCAGCCAGGACCAGCTTGCCCACCAGTGCTGGTGCCTGGATGACAGTGACTGCTGCCCTGAGCTGGACACAAGGGCAGGAGCAGGTGAGGGTGCTTGGAGGAGCTCTGGTTCCTTCGTCCTGGGCAGTTGTGCTTCAGCTGGATGGAGAGGCTTTCAGCTGGACATGAGGAGCCCACCCCTCCACAAACCCCGCAGGGGAGGAGCTTGCCGGCCCTGCTTCCCTCTGGGAGGGGAGGAGGTGGCCTTGTCATGGCCATGGCCTTCCTTGACCGTCTGCAGGGCCTGTTCCTCCACCCACAAGTGGGGGGCACCCCTCAAGGCATCTCTGCTCAATTTGGCCTGGCCCTTGGAGCTGGAGAGGATGTTTGCAGGGCAAGAAAAGACCAGGGCGTGGCCCCAGCTTTGGGGAGCTCACCTTCCCTGCTTCTTTTCACACCTGAGGGTGGACCAGCCCTGACGGGGCAGACAGCCTGCTTGGTGACCTGCTCTCAGAGCTTTTGGGGGAAAGTGGCTGAGCCCCTTGGGGTAGCCCTGAGTGAAGAGCTGCTTAGGAGGGCCAGGGTGGCCTTCGCTGGATGCCACCCAGCCCGTGGCCCTGGGGCAGGGGGATCTGCTCCTTTGTGCACCTCGTCTCCCTAGAGGGCAGGGACGACCAGGATCAGCCTCCAGCGACAATGATGTCTGCTGTCTGGGAGCCCCAAAGCTCCGGCAGCCCTGACCTCCCTTTGGTTGAGGACTCGCCTGTTCTGCACCTGTTCCGTGGATTCCTAGGGGAGGCAGCCTCCCAGACAGGTCCCTCTCCCCCATTCGTCTGCGGCCTGGCGCCGGCCAGCCCTTGTTCCTGTGTTTATCCTGTGTTGGCAGCTGCGTCGAGGCCACTCTGCAGCAGAGCCCACCTGCAGTCCCAGGAGCACCATGCTGCCTGTGGGCCAGATGCCCCACCTCAGGCCTCCCTGGCTCTGTAGGCATGTGGGGAGCCCCGCCACAGAGCCCCCAAGCGGCAGGGACCAGCAGGAGCACCGGAGGCACTGGCAACCATCCCCGTGCTGGACTCTGGGGGTGACAGGGGTGAGGCTGTGGCCTGAGTGCCCACTGCAAAGACCGGGCAGGCTGATGCCATCATGCACCCTGTGCTGCAGCCTCAGTGATGGGCTATGTGACTTCATGCTCTTTATGTGCAGCTATGAACTGAGCACCTTCTGGGGCCAGAGCTGGGGAGTCAGAAGCTGATAGGCCACCTGCTGCTCTCATTGTCACCAAGTCCATGGCGTATATAGTGTGCAGCAGGGACAGAAAGTCACCACAGAGGAAAATATGGATTAAACTCAGAGCTTGGAGGAAAGAGGCCAGAGGTGGGGTGTAGGCTGGGGTCTGAGGAGGGCTGTGGAGGAGGCAGAGGCCACAAGCCGCGCAGGGAAAGGCTGGCTCCAGGGCTGGTGCTGGAAGGGTCACAGGGTGGGTGGGCTAGGGGCTGGGGGCAAGGCTAGAGGCTGGGGGTGCTGGGGGCTGGGGCCTGGGTTTCACTCTTGGTGCCATGATGACTCTGGAGAATTTTAAGCAGGGATACACCAGGTTTATGCTCCCTAAGGTTTGCTCTGCCCACTGTGTGGACAGAGTAAAAAGGTGGCTGCACTGCATTGAAGACCCTTCCAGGGACATGGGCTGGCTGGCTCCCTTCACCTCGGAGGCTCCTGAGGGGTCCGTAGGCTGTGGCAGTCAGTCCCTTGGCCCTCACTGACCCTGGGAAGGGTGGATGCTTCAGCTTGGCCCAGAAGGCCTGTGGCTGCTGTCCGCGTGTCTCCTGGCCCCACACTTTCTGTGGAGCTCTGGCCTTGGGGCAGGGGGATCTCGGCACCCCTCTGGCTTTCCTGTCCCTCACCCATATGTTTGGGGGAAGATCTTACATGTATCTGTAGCTCCTATATATGCGTGTAAAACAAGGTAGAATTTACACCCAGCAGAACTCACTCTTTGCCATACAGCTCTGTGGGAGTAGATGGACGCAGACATGTGGCCACCACTGTCCTGGCTCCAAAAGGGTCTGCGTGCCCCTCTGCGGGCTGCCATGCCTGCACCCCCACCCTGCCACCCCCAAGCAGCTTTGTAGGGACCTATTCTGGGAGGTCCTAGGAAGGAGTCCTCACTGGGGTCTTCCCAGAAAGGCTTCTTTCACTCAGGGGTGCACCTGGGATCTGAGTGAGTGCACCTCCCCAGGTGGACGGTTTCTTTTCGGCTCCTCCTGCCACGGAGGCCCCGTCCAGCCACCTGGCCACAGGAGATGCTCAGGGGCTTCGGCCTTCGGCTAGTTGTGAATAAAGCCCCCGAACATCCACATGCAGGTGTTGGCAAATGTTCCCATGTCAATACCGAGGTGTGCGGTTGTCAGATTGTCCTAGGACAGGGATGTTGCCCTTTCTGAGGATCCACCAAACCCGAGCCAGCCCGGTGGCGGGTACGGGCGGCTCTAGAGCTGTAAGCAGTCCCAGACTGCTGTCCCCTGGCGTGTACCCGTACTCACACACAGGGCTCACGTGCTTATTTTCCGCCTGGATGTCTTCGGTGAGGTGGTTTTCCAAATCTTTTGCCTGTTTTTTTTTTCTTTTTTTAACGCGAGTTGCTTGTTTTTCTTATCATTGTATCTTGAGAGTTCGTTATAGATTCAGGATTTAAGTCCTTTATCAGATGCCTGTTTTGTAGATGTTTTCAAGGGAAGATTTTCACCATGTTCTCCGCAGTGATCCTGGGGCCTGGCCTTGAGCTGGCAAGAGCTGGCATCTCCTGAAACCCAGAGAAGGCAGCTCTCAGAAGCCCTCAACCCTGCCCCCCTCCCCACTGGGGGACAAGCTGGGGGAGGACGGTCTTTCTCTGACCCCATAGGCCCTTCCAGTCTGGAGCACTGAGCAGCACTGCCCTTCCCCGGACGCTTGCCCCATCAGTGGTGCGCCCGGAAGCCACGAGGTGCTTCTCAAGTGGAGTCTGGTGCACACGGGAGGTCACTGTGGAGGCCTTGCCAGGGAGCCCCCACCAGCCTGTGGCGCCATCCTGGCGACACCCTCCCCCACTTGCTTATGCAACTGTTGATAAGGTGGTGTGACACCATAATCCACCCTAAGTGGCAGCTCAGCTCCACCCTCTGGGGGGCAGCGGGGTCTAGAGGCAGACATACCCAGGCCTCTGTCACCGCTGGGCTGGCCAATGGTGACTTCACTCCTGCATGGGGAGGAACAAGTGAGGACTTTGGGGACCCAGACCCTGAGTGGGGGCCTGCTGGTAGAACAGCCTTACTCACCCTGGGCCCCGAGCCCCAGCCAGTATGGAGGTGGCTGGAGGCCAAGACCAGGTCCCTGCTTGGTCCTCGGTGACTGGCTGGCGGGTCTGGGGGACAGATGCTCAGACGGGATTGGGAGAGGTGAGAGGTGCAAGTCCGCCTCTCTGGAGCCCTCCAGGAAATGACCTCTGGGGCTGGTGGGGGATCTCGAGTGACTGTGTCAGACAATGGACAAAGGGGCCAGAGTTTCCAGGGCCACGTGCCTTTGGCTGCCGACTGCTCCAGCCTAAGCCCAGCTGGACTGTGCTATAAAGCCGGCATCCCAGGCTCAGATTAGGTGTCAGGTGGAGGACGGCATGGCGATGAGGTGTGTCCTGCTGGGCCAGGTCCTAGTGCTGCTCTGGCTGTCCGGGGCTTGGGCTGAGGTCCTGGTACAGCCAGATTTTGATTCCAAAAAGGTAACAGTGACCCCTGCACTGTGCCGTGGGCAGGTGGGGGGGCCAAGCCCATGGGCCCTTGTCCTGTGCCTTGTCTGAGAGCCCCAGGACTCTCTCTGTTCACTGCTGACCAACCCTGCAGGGTGGTCACTGACCCACTTCCCATTTGGGGGGGACTGAGGTCATGTAACCCGCCCGGGGAAGGTGGAAGAACAGGGGCTCATGCCAAGAGCTGGGCACTGGGGGACCCCCGGCTGTGTGGTTCCGGACAAGCCTGTATGGTCATGTGGCTTTGGGGCCCAGGGTGCTGGGCAAAGCCGGCCATAGATCTGCCTTGCAGTTCTCAGGCCTTTGGTACGTGGTCTCCATGGTCTCCGACTGCAAGGTCTTCCTGGGCAAGAAGGACCACTTGCTCATGTCCAGCAGGACTATCAGGGCCATGCCAGGGGGCAACCTCAGTGTCCACATGGAGTTCCCTCGGTGAGTGGGCCGGGCCAGGTGGTGGGGGCAGGGGTCCAGGCAAGCAGCTGAGGGCAAGCACTGGGTTTGTCCCCCCAGGGCTGACGGCTGTCACCAGCTGGATGCTGAGTACCTGAGGGTGGGCTCTGAGGGGCACTTCAGAGTCCCAGGTAGGTCCCGCCCACCCACCTCAAGGGATCCCTGACAGCTTCTCTGCAGGGTGACCTGGGGTGGCCTCCTGCCTGGGACCAGCCCGATCCCTGGCTCCTGCCCTCCCCCTCCCTCTTCCCCCGAGGTAGGGGCGGCTGTGGGGGCGGGGGGGGGAGGCTGCACCTGGGCCCTGCGCGCTTCTCCAGGCCACTGGCCACCGCCTCCGCAGCCCTGGGCTACCTGGACGTGCGCGTGGCAGACACAGACTATGACACCTTCGCCGTGCTCTACATCTATAAGGAGCTGGAGGGGGCGCTCAGCACCATGGTCCAGCTCTACAGTGAGGCCCCGCTGCCCACCTTCCCTACTGGGCCCACCAGACACCCCCTCTGCCCCGGCCAGGCCTCACTGGACACCCTCCCTGTCTCCCCCGGGGCCCCACCCCTTTAGAACCCGCTTCCCCCACCATCACCCCTAAGTTCAAGCCAAGAAGGACCGGGAGGGGATGGCAGGAACCCCAATCTTTGCCTGGGTAGGACTTAACTCGAGGGGCACTGAGGGCCTGGCCTGACCTTTTGAGGGTGGGGATCCATCCTCCCCTGTCTGAGAGCTCAGTGGGGGCTGAGATCCTATTTTGCCTTCATTTCTGAACCTTGGCAGATGGGGTCGGGGCAATGGCTGGAGGCTGGTGTTGGGAGCCTGAGGGCTATGGGGCCCGGGGGGATGTGACCCTGGGGAACAGCGAGGTCATCCCAACCTCCCAGACACCTGGTTATGACCTAGGAAAGGACACCCCTTTCGGTGCCTTCCAGTCGCCTTGGTCCCTCAGCCAGGCAGGCACTTTTATGCATTGCACAGCCTGCCCAATTTGGATGGTAGACCTGATGGCAACTTTCAAGGAGGAGCACTGAGACCAGGAGAACTCCTCCCCCCTCTCCTCCCGTCTGTGAGCCACAGAAGACTTCCACCCCCCTCCTCTCCCCTTACCTCTGTGAACCACAGGAGACCTCCACCTTCCTCCCCTCCCTTCTATGAGCCACAGGAGACCTCCCCTCCCCCCCCTCACCACTGTGAGCCACGGAGCTCACAGGGGCCCTGCTGTGCCTCAGGCCGGACCCAGAAAGCAAGTCCCCAAGCCGCAAAGGCCTTCCAGGACTTCTACCCCACTGTGGGGCTCCCCGATGACATGATGGTCATGCTGCCCAAGTCAGGTGTGTGGACCAAGGCCTGCCCCAGGCCCTTCCTGCTCCCCCGGGGGGTACACGGCAGGATGTGGCCTTGTCTTATTAGGGTAGGTTGGCAGGCCCACTGCCTTCCCCTCAGCATGCACTAAGGACGAGGTTTTAGGCCCAGAAGGGAGAGTCTTTGAGTGGGTGGGGCTGTTTGGGGGCCCAGGGCATCCAGAGTGGGGCTGCAGGGAGGGTGGGCAATGCCAGGCAGCTCAGCCTCTCACGAACCGTGTTCCTTCCCGCAGATGTGTGCTCCTCTGCAGGCAAGGAGGCTTCCTGACCCATCCAGAGACCCACCTTGGCCCTTCCCAGGTAGGAGGGAGACAAGGCGACTCCTCTGTCCTGTGCTCCTGGGCCTGTGTGGGCAGCTCCAGCTCTGCATGTACAGATCCCACTGCCCACACCCCCTACCCAGCTGCCCGGCCATTCACTTTCATGATTCAGGCCTCAGCTTCCATGTTACCTCTTCCAGGAAGTCTCCTCTGATTTCCTAGGGCTGCCTTAACTAGTTACCATGGCTTCTGGCTCACCCCCTGGGGTGTCTGGGCCTTGGTTTCCCCCAAAGGGTCCCATGACGCGGGACCTGCCACCTCTCAGGTCACTGCTGTCACAGGGCTGGGGCCCCCGGGAGCCCTTGGGATGTGGAAGCAGGTGGACTCTTGGGGACTGTCTGGCCCCTGACCAAGTTCACAGTGAATCATTTGGGAGCCTATGTAAAACGCTACAGAACAGCAGTGACAAGGCAGCCACCCAGTCAGGGACAGCCAGTGCCCCTACCGGCAGGCCTGCATGCTTGTGCAGTGCGCGCATCTGGCTTCCCCACTGTTGTTCCACTCTCCCTGGCCGTCCTGGCTATTTGCCCAGCAGGTCTGGAGGACACGGCTAGCCCCCAGCACACACGGTTGTGGGTAGGAGGAGAGGTGGGTTTGGGGCAGCACCCTCGGGGAGGCTCACCTTCAGCCAGGGTGAGCTCCATCCTCTAGCTGTGTGCCTCACCCCAGCTTTCAAGGGAACGTGCCCCAAGCAGACCACCTCTCAGGTGCTGAGTCTGGGGGTCTTGTGGTTCTGGGGCCCCTCTGGCGCTTTCTGGCCATGCCAGCCCCTTGTTGCTGGCCCTCGAGCAAGAGAAGCATGGGGCACCCTGCCGTGCATGGGTCCAGCTGGCAGTGGCCGAGGGGTGCTGTGGACTGGGGATACCTGGGGTTACTGTGCCTTTCCTACCTGCGCAGAGGGAGCTGGAGCAGCAGGCCTCATCGCCCTGACTTCTCTGGACCCAGCGTCCCCCCTGTGCCTGGGGTAACTCTGTCCTCCCCATCCTTGGGCCCCCCTTTCCTTTCAATAAACAATCTGCAGTCGAGAGGCTCCTCACCTCTTTGCAGAGGCTCTTGGAGAGGGCACGGCGAGCCCCGTCTTGAGCCAGGGCTCCTGGGGAAACTGAGGCAGGGTAGTGGGTGTGCAGGGGATACTGAGCCCTGGGCACTGCCTGGCTTGAGGGACCAGGAAGTTCCAGTTCAGCCTGGTACCTACAAGGGGTGGTACTCTGTCTGATGTACCTGGCCTGGCCCCCATGGGGTCATAGCACCTCCAGGGAGCCAGGGTGCCTTGCTGCTGGGGCTCCTCCAGGCACGCACAGACCCCTGCCTGCAAGAGCCGGAGGCGCAGCAGAGTGGGGACTGCGACACTGGACTTGTTGGGGCGTTCCCTCCTGCCGCGGGGTGACCTTGAGCTTGCACATGCCAGAAAGACCTCGGTGAGGCCTGGAATGGGGTCATGGTCGTGGCTGGAGCCCTGGGAAGCCTTGCAGCTGGCCTGGCCCAGTTGTTCCACCATGGACCCCAGGACACACACAGGGAGCCTGCTGCCTGCCTTACCCGGGAAGCCGAGGCACAGAGAGGTCAATGACTTGCCCAGCACAGGTCCAGGTTGAGGCTCCAGCCAGTGGTCAGGCTCCAGGGCCTGGGCTCCATGCTGACCCCCTGTGACATGAGGGGATGCAAGACAGCCCTCCTGGATGCACGGCCGCCAGCGCTCTTGTCTTGTCCCGACAGGTTGTGCTTCAAAGGGCCGGGCGTGGGCCAGGCGTGGGGTGGGCAGGAAGGGAGTGGGGTCCTGCTTCATTGCTCATGGGTTGAAGCCAGAGGCAGGCAGCAGACCCACTGAGGGGCATCTATGCTCATCCTGCCCCCCACACTTCCTGTCCTCTGTCTCCTGCCTGGCTGAGTGCATCCCCGGGGGCCCTCTCTGCAGCCTGGGCTGGCACCAGGCTGGGGCCCATGTCAACCAGTCCTCAGTCTCCTTGGAGCCCCCGCAGCTCTGACTGTGTGGTGGCCCCTTCAGGCTCTGCTGGGCCGGCCACCTCTGGGCTGCCCCGTCCTAGCTGGACCTTTCCACACCTGCTTGACCCTAAACTGGGCAGCCTTTGTGGGAGACAGTGCAGTGGCCAGGAACCAAGGCAGCCAGTCCCCCTGGTGGGGGGGCCTCCCCTTCAGCTGACCAGGCCTGGAGCCATTCCAGGGTGGGCTTTCCTGGCGCTGAAGCTGGGGAGGCTGCCTGTCACCCGTCAAGAACCAAGGATGTTGATCTGCACAGACATTGCTTTGGGCGCCCTTGGGCCCCCCGGCCACATGGCGCCTGTCCCTCTCCTTTGTGGCCATTATAGCCAGGAAACCCAAGCATGCAGCTTGGTCTGAATCATGCAGCTAGGAGGCCCAGGCTGCTGCCCGTGAAGGCCGGCTCCTCTTTTACTTGCCATGCTTGTCCTCAGGGATAAAATCGAGTGGCAGGGTACACAGCTGGGGAAGGGGTGGCTCTGGCATCCCTCCACACTGGCTTGTGTCCGCTATGCTCATCGGCTGGGTGGGTTGGCAAGACAGGGCCTCTCTCAGGCCATTCTTCTGGGGGTGGGTCATACCTGGTTGTGCGCCAAGGCCTGAGTGTGTCCAGGGTGGATGGGCAGGGGGCCTGGCCCGGGAGTGGATGTTGTCATAGTGGGCAAGGACATGAACTGTGGGAAGGTAGCTCTCCGGTGATCCCTGTGGCCCCCACCTCCATCTCCCGCAGCTCCCCCTAACCCGGCCCCTGCGCCTCCTCCATGGGGGTGCACCCAGGGAAAGGAGACCCTCCTTCATTTCCCCCAACAGGAGGGTGGGTCCTCCCAGGTCCCTGCTGCCTCAGCCAGCCACCCTCCCACCCCCCACCCTCCCAGAACCTTTCCTCGTCTGGGCCAAGACTGGCTGGAGAAAGCCTGAAAACCACCGTGCACCCTGTGGGGAAGGTGTTCTGAGCCTGTGGGGCCTGGGCGTGGCATGTCCGTCTGTTGGCCCCCACAGGGTGGGAGCTGTGTCCCCACGGTGTGGGGGGGGGCTCCACCTCTCAGGTCCTCTGGTTGCCCCACTGCAGGTGTCAGGTGTCGTCTGGGGCCAGGAAGGTGGTGGCACCACTGCTCCAGTGCAGGCCAACCCCAGCCTAGTGGCTGTGGATGTCACTGGGCCTGTGCAGTGCCTGGGCACAGGGCTATTCCTCTGAGTGCTCTCAGCCACGTGTGCTGATGACATCCTCAGCTTCTTGTGCAATGGGCTTGCTTTCCCAATATAAACCTGGTGCTGGAGGAGCAGAGGCCAGGGGAGCAGTGATGGAGGCTGGGCTGCTGAGTGCCATCCTGGGCCTTGTCACGGTGCAGGGGGAGACAGCCATGCTGGACCTGGATCTGCAGAAGGTGGCTTTTCTTTCCGACGTGGGGAGGTCTAGTGACTCAGGACCCGGTCCCTCCAACCCCCAGCCAATTCCAGAGCAGATACAGCAGGGGCCCCAGGACCCACCCGGTTCAGCCCGGACAGAGCAGGTGGCTGAGGGCCCCAGGAACCACCCGGGTCAGCCCTCCCCTTGAAAGCAGGTGTGAGAGCAAGCGCCCAGGGACCAGCAGGGTCAGAGCCCTCCTGAGGGTCTCCTGTGGGTGGGCCAGGTGGTCTTCCAGCATCCCGGGACCGGGGCTCAGTGTGGCCACCTCCTGCTCCTGGGTCAGTGGGGTCCCTGCCCAGAGAGCTCTGGTAGTAACAGGCACATGAGGCTCCGTGTGGGGAGCTTCCTGCTGCACTTGCTCCGGTGTGGCCGCTCTCCTGGGGTGGGGCTTGTCTGGTCTCTGGTTCCCATCTAGATGCTTCTTTGCCCGAGGTCCTTCTTTGCCAGGTCTGTTCTAGTGGCCAAGCCGGAAGCACCTCCGAAGGCTTGGAGGTGACATGCACTGGGGACGTGCGTTCTTTCCTCTTGCCAAATGATCGGTTTCCACGTTTCAGACGGCAGCCCAGGTTCCGGGAGGTTTCTGAAGGCAGGACCTTCCCACCCCAGCTCCCAGTGTGGCAGACGAAGCCACTGCCTCCTGCGGGTGACACAGGTCGCTGGCTGCTACTCCCTCTCAGGCTCTGACCATGGATGCGCCCCCGGCGTCCTGGCCCCAAGGATGGGGTGCTGCTGTTTGGTGGGCTGAAGGGACTCCTCAGAAGGGTGATGACCGCTGCTTGCTGTCCTTTCAGAGACCAGCAGTGTCCTGCTCAGGGGCCCTGGGGGGCTTGCCTTCCTGGACGGGGCTCTGGCTTCTCTCTCTAGATTGCAGGATTCTGGAGGGAAGTTGGTGTGGCCTCCAGCCAAAACCTGGCACTGAAGACCCCAAAGAGGCTGGAAGCCTTGTTCCTGACCTTGAGCGGGCATGAACTGCTGGTGAAGGCTGCATATTACAGGTACGGGGCCATGGCAGGGACAGATGCACGAGGCCAAGTGCCGGGGAGCCGCCTGACCGCGCCAACTGCAGCTGTGGATCCACATGGTGTCAGTCGTCCCTGTGTCCAAATCCTGAGACCTCAGCCCCCAGTCCCCCTGGCAGCATGCAGACATCTCCCCTGACACCTACATCTCCCAAAGATGAGCATGGAGTTTTGATAAAGCCCCATGAACTTATAGGAAGGAAATATGGGCCTGTGTGGCTGGCTCTTAGGAGGTCAGAGCCCCTGAGGGAGAGGCTGGCCTGGCCCCAGCTCTGCAAACCCCTGCCTTGTCCTGGCTCAGGCTCCCCTGGGCACAGACATGCTGCCGGAGCCCTCCCTCCCTGTACCCCTGGGATGAGCCTGGCAGGAGGAATCCCGGCTGGTGTTGCCCTGATGAGTGCTTCACTGGCTTTCAGCTCAGGAAGTTGTGAGACAGAAAACATAGTGGGCTCAGAGATAGACGTGTCGGGGACATTCGTCTTCCCTGGTAAGAACCGTTGCCCTGTTGCTACAGTTACAGCCCCCAGCTCTGCGTGCCCACTACACTGGCTTTGCTATCTTTCTACACCGTTTCCCGTGCAGTTCCCTGTACCTCTCCTTATGCCCCAGATGCTCCCATTCTCTCAGCACAAGGTGGGGTGGCCTTCAAGGGCTGCTGTTTCCCCTTGCCTCACATGATGGGAGGGTCCAGACACCGGGAAAGGAGGGGGCAGGCCCCACAGCCTGCAGGGGGGCATGTCCCTCCTTCCCACTTACCCCCCAGGCCACAGGGAGATCCAAGTGGTAGATACGGACTACGAGCAGTATGCCATTTTGCGGTTGTCCCTCCACTGGCAAGGCAAGGACTTCCGTGTGCTCAAGTACTTCAGTAAGCTCGCCCGGGGTGGGGGGTGGGCATGCCACTGCCCTCCTTGGGACAGCCCAGCTCAGTGCTCCTGCGCCCCCCCACAGCCCGCAGCCTCGAGGACGAGTATGGGCCAGGCTTCTGGAGGTTCCGGGAGCTGACCGCAGACACGGGGCTTTACCTGGTAGCCCGGCACGGTGAGCCCCAGGCCTCCTGGGGGGCGTCGGGTGGGGGCCCCCCCGAGGTGGGAAGGGGCCTGTCCTACAGCACCTGACCACCCCCCACCCCGCCCCGCAGGGAGGTGCGCCAAACTCCTGAAGGAGGTGAGCCTTGCCCCAGTCTGCTGAGCTTCGCAAGCTGGAGTCTCCCGGCCTGACGGGGCCCCGGAGCACTCGGGACCCTGGGCCTCCAGGGTGCTGACATCAGGCTGCGAGAGGGCCCTTGGGGGCTGAGAGAGTGACAGGGGAGGCTAGGCCCTCGAGGGACCCCCTCCTTCTGTCCCACGGGCGCCAGCACCCCCCTGGGTGGGGGCAGGCGGGCACTGGTTCCCCGTGTCCCCGGGATGCTGGTACATCCCCTTCATGATCCCCCCCCACAACATGGTCCCGACATGTGGGGCTGTGACCCTACCTTGCATGTGGAGAAACTGAGGCCTAGGGAGGCTGTGCTCACGGTTCTGCTGCTAGGATGCTGGGTCCACCCATGCGCCTAAGTGCAGCCCTGAGGGGTCTCTGAAGGCCGGGCGCTGCCCTGAGGCCGTGCCCTTCTTTTTTTTTTTAATTTTTTTTTAAATTTTTATTTATTTATGATAGGCACACAGTGAGAGAGAGAGAGGCAGAGACACAGGCAGAGGGTGAAGCAGGCTCCATGCACCGGGAGCCCGACGTGGGACTCGATCCCGGGTCTCCAGGATCGCGCCCTGGGCCAAAGGCAGGCGCTAAACCGCTGTGCCACCCAGGGATCCCAAGGCCCTGCTCTTCTGTGTCCCAGGAGCTGATCTAGAGGACCCCAGGCCAGGATGCTCCGCCCCCACCCCCTCAGGGGCTGCTTGCACCTGCTCTGAATAAACCCCACTGCCAAACCCACTGCCCGAGTGTCTTTCTTGGGGGAGCGGGGCCTGAGGGGTGACAGATGAGGCTGTGGGGGTTGCACTACTGCCCTGAAAGTGATAGTGACCCCGACGCCCTGGTGGCCTGTGCTCACTGTGTGCATTGCTGGTGAACGGGAGCCATTCCCACCCCATCCCTGGCTGGAACTTCTCCCAGAGAGGGCTGAGCTGGGGGTGCTGTGGCCAGGCAGGGCTCCTTCCCCTGGGGGCCCGGGGCCCACACAGTCAGATGCAGGGGGCGAGCCCTGTGCCCTCTCTGTCCTTCCCGCCTGAGGGTCATACCCAGCCTGCCCTGCTCAGAGCCCAAGGCCAGGCCCCCAGGTGCGTGGGCCCCAGAGTCATGGTGCCGGCTACCCCCTGCTCCCTGAGAGCCTGAGCGCACCAGGCCCGGTGCCCTTGAGTAGAGCTTTGGTTAGGTCTCCCAGGTGAAAGAGGGTCATGTTGCCCTTCTGCCTACATTCTTGCAAGGCTCCCTGCTGCTCCAACCTCAAATCTGTGGGCATCATGTCCAAGGCCCCCTGGTCATGGCTGTTCTTCTCTCCACCACCGGCTTTCTCCCACCCACCCCTGCATGGTTGGCTCAGTCTTTTCAGGGTCATTCCGCACGCTGTCACCCCATAATGTGCACTGACTATCTCATCAGCCCATTTTCTTCCATCAGTGGGGGCTAAGACCGGAGGCAGACAGGGTGGCCTGGTCAGGGCAGGGCATGTGGGGTGAGCATGAGCCCATGGCACTGGGCACAGCGGGGAGGACAAGGCTTGTGGGGAGCAGCTGCCTTGTGGGTGAGGCTGGAGAGTGGTGCCTGAGGTCAAGCAGTTCTGGGGACCTGGTGAAGACCTACCCCACAAGAGCACAGAAACCCCATTGTCACTCAGGGGTCCAGCGACTGCCGTGCAGACCAGCCCAGAGCGAGGCCTGGGGTGGGGAACCTGCCTGGGACCTGCTGGATTGAATCCTGAGCTGTGTTCCCACAAGACCCATAGGAGTGACATCTGGAAGCTGCATTCTGACAGCTTCAGTGTCCTTGGCGGACAATTTGGACGTTCCATGGATCTTTCTGGATGAAGCTTGCAACAAGTGTGAGGTGAGGAGCCTGCAGGTGGACTTGTTGTGGGGTCGTGCTCCTGGGCTTGGGCAGCGGTCACCAAGTCCCCGGGCCAGTCGTGGCACTGAGCCGTCAGGGGTTTATTCCTTGTGCATCTGGATACCGGAAGCCCCACATTGGGGTGGTCTCTGGCAAGAGCCCCTCTCCTGCCTGCAGCTGTGGGTGGCCTTCCCGCTGTCTCACATGACCTCAGCTCCACTGCCAGGGAGAGCTGGCTGTGCCCCCCTCCTCTTAGGAGGGTGCCTGTCCTAGCAGGTTCCAACCTGCCTGAGAGGCCCCACCTCCAGACACAGCGCAGTGGGGGTTAAGGCTCCAGTGAGGCATTCCTGGGGACACCATTCAGTCCCTGACAAAAGCCAACCCCATTCAGAGGATGACAGCAGCATCCAGGGCCTCTGCCAGACAACACAAGTGCCCAAGCCACTGGACATGCTGGGAAATGGCAGAACTACACGCCCGCTGACAGCCAGAGGACTCATGGGAGAACAGATAGGGCAACGAATGGGGCCAATGCAGAGGCTGTGAAGAGAGCTGGTGGGGAGCTAGTGCTGTGGGGCACCGAGCCAGGGCTCTCCTGGACGGGTTTGGCACGCTGCAGGTGGCAGAGGTCGTGGCTGTGACCCTGGACGAATCAACACAGATGTCGGAGCCTTGGAGGGGAGCAGAGAATGGCTGGGGTGGGGGTGGGGGGTGGGGGCAAGGCCAGGCGTGTAGCCTTGTCCTAGCCACAGAAGGCAGCGAAGATGAGGTGGAAAAATATCAGAAGAGATAGATGCCAAAGTATGCCCACCTCGATGAAGCACATCTCCGAGGCTGCGGAGACCTGAGCGCCCCGGCCTGGGTCATGGAAGTCAGAAGTTGACCTCACAGGCTGAAGCGGGGGGCGGGGGGGGTTGGGGGGCTGTCTCGGAAACCAACTCTTGTTCTAGGAAATAAAGCTATTTTTACACAGATCAGAGTGCAGAGAAATTTGTCTCTAGAGTTTGTGCAGTGCAAGAAGGAAGCGCTAGTGCAGTCCTTGGGATGAGCGATGTCACAGGTAACACCCACTCAGGTCCACGGGAGCTCAGGACTGTGGGGACTCTTGGAGAGTGGGACACAGGCTCAGCATCCTCTGGCCTCCTCCTCCAGGAGCCTTCCCTCCTCCTGCACGTGTTTACTGCCTCTTATGCAATTCTGGTGCCCTTCCTCCCTCCCTCCCTCCCCTCCTCTCTCACTCTCCCTTCCTTCCTCCCTTCCTCCCTTCCTTCCACAACTCGTCATGTATTGCCATCCTCTATCCTGATGCACAAACCTGTCCGAATTTGTCCAGCAGGGTTTCCTTCAGGATGGCCCCCAAGTCTTTTTGACCCATTTCCCTGATTCTGCAAACACACGTTTGCTCTCTGGCACCAGAATCCCCCTGAGCTCCTGTTAGGTTTGTTGTGACTCAGCCCTGGGGTCATCTCTCCAAGGGGTCTGGCTCCTTTCTGTAGAGAACGGTCCTGAGACACCGTGGTCTGGGAACCTGGTACACTCAGTGTGGCTTCTCCCAGGGTGTGATGATGTGGAGGCTTCTCAGCAGAGAGAGCCACCCTTCCACTTGCCCCCTCTCCAGCCCTGGGAAACCATTCTGCTCCTACCCGGCCCCGAGCGCACTGAAAGCAAGTCTTAGAAAGGCAGAAACCGGGATTTATAGCCCCTTACTCTTCGGCCTGAGAATATGATAGAAGTCCTCTGCCCAAGGTTCCTAGGCCCCCTTCATGTGGTTGCGTCGTTGCCTTATAACACGGCTGCATCCCACTTGTTTATGGGGGAGTAATGGGTTACCATGATCCCAAAGTCAAGATCACATACATCAGGGGCACCTGGGGGCTCAGTCTGTGAAGCATATGACTCTTGATTTTGGCTTGGGTCACGACCTCAGGGATGTCCGGCTCTGCACTCAGTGGGAGATCCACTCCTGCTGGAGATTCTCTCTCTCCCCCTGCCCCTTCCCATCACAAAGTATCATAGACTTCAACACCAGAGGTGTGTTCCCTCCCAACTCCAGAGGCATGAGTCTGAGATCCAGGTGTAGCCGGGCTGGTTCCTCCCAAGGCCTCTCTCCGTGGCCTGTTGTGGATGGCCATCTTCTCATCCGGTCTCCATTGTCATCCCTGTGTGTGTGCCTGTCCCTTAATCTCTTCTGACAAGGACTCCAGGTATATGTAACCCGAATGACTTCATTTTGACCTAATTGCCTCTTTAAAGGCTCCATGTCCAGGCGATCCCTGAGTGGCTCAGCAGTTTAGTGCCTGCCTTTGGCCCAGGGCACGATCCTGGAGTCCTGGAATCGAGTCCTGCGTCAGGATCCCAGCATGGAGCCTGCTTCTCATTCTGCCTGTGTCTCTGCCTCTCTCTCTCTCTCTCTCTCTCTCTCTCTCTCTCTGTCTATCATGAATAAATAAATAAAATATTTTTTAAAAAGGAATATTTTTTAAAAAGGCTCCATGTCCAAATGGAGTTGCATTCTGTGGTTCTGGGGTCAGAACTTCAGAATACAAATTTGCGGGGGGGATGCAATTCATAACAAACATCTTTCATTTGTTTAGGGGTCACTTTAACTTTTTTGTGTGAATTGTCTGGTTATGTTGTCTATTTTTCTGATGGGTTTTTGGCCTTTTTTCCTCTTACTTTAAAAAACTTTCTTATAGATTATGACTGTTATCCCTTACACACTGTATATGTTAGAAATACTTTCTCCAGATGTATCATTCATCTTTTGACTTTGTTAATGGCTTTATTTTTGCTATAAAAAGTTTAAAAATATAGTTAGTTTTTATCAGTAATTTCTTTTGTTACATCTGGATTTTGATGAATAGTTAGTAGGGCCTATGGGTTTGTAGTGGTTTGATTTTCCTTAGCCTGCATGAGATTTCCCAGAATTCCCAGAAGGCAAGAGCCTTACAGGGCCTGTAAAATGAGTTCCTACAGCGACGTGAGATCAAACTCCTGCCATGAACCCCTTATTTGTGAATACACTTGCCTCCTAGTGGTCCCACCTTCAGGAGTGAACTCTGGTGCAATTAGAAAGCCTTTCCCTATATCCACATTATGGAGAAATTCACCAATGATTTCTTTTATTACTCATATGGTCCCATTTCCAGGTTTAACATTCAGATCTCTGATCTATTTGATGTTTACTCTCACACATGAGGTGAATGTGCTTCACTTTAATCTTCTTCCAAATGGATATCCAGTTGTCCTGACAGAATTTATTTATGAAAATCTATTTTTTCCCAGGATTTAAGATGTCTCCTTTGCAGTGCAGTCTGTTCATTCTGGCTCATGAGAGCCTGCTGTATACATATTTTTCCTCAATTGCCATGGTTTTTTTTTTAAGATTTATTTATTTTTAAAGATTTTATTTATTTATTTGACATGGGGAAAGAGAGAGAAAGAGAAAGAGAGAGAGGGAGAGCACAAGCAGGGCAAGAGCAAGAAACCTGACTTGCTCGGGACTTGATCCCAGGATCCTGAGATCATGACCTGAGCCAAAGGCAGATGCTTAACCAACTGAGCCGCCGAGGTACCCCTCAAATCTGCAATGTGTAAGATTATTTTGGTTACACAGATGTCTTTTGTCTATACCACTTATGGTTTCCAGCTGTATTATGAGAACTGTGAAAATATAATTTCAAATGTGGCTGTCAACTTGTTAAGCAAGGCAATCCTGCTATTTTCACAACCTATGTGGTCTTTTTTTTAATGTTTTTTTATGTAGTTTTTTTTTAAATTTTTTTTATTTATTTATGAGAGAGAGAGAGAGAGAGAGAGAGAGAGGCAGAGACACAGGCGGAGGGAGAAGCAGGCTCCATGCACCGGGAGCCCGATGTGGGATTCGATCCCGGGTCTCCAGGATCGCGCCCTGGGCCAAAGGCAGGCGCCAAACCTCTGCGCCACCCAGGGATCCCAACCTATGTGGTCTTGATGTGTGTCTACCCTCAACATTCAGGTTGACATCTTAACCCCCCAATATAATGGCATTGGGAAGTGGGCCTTTGGAAGGTGACTAGGTCATGAGGGTGGAGCCCCCATGAATGGAGTCAGTGCCCTTATGAAAGAGACCTCACTGAGCTCCCCTACCTCTTCTACCATGAGTACACTAGAAGTCTGTGATCTACAAGAGGCCCCCGCTGACCCTGCTAGCACTTTGACTGGGACCTTCCAGCCTCTAGAACTGTGAGAAATAAATGTCTGTTGTTTATAAGCCACCCAGTATGTGTTTTCCTGTGATATCAGCCCCAGCGGACTAGGAGAGCCTACCTTGCAATTCTAACGCAGGGAGCATTTATGGATCTGCTTCTACTATCTCTTTCTTCAGCTATGTTTCTCTCCATTCATCTTAGTCTCCTCGAATGTCATGTCAGGAAACTGTACATGACAAAAACATGGTCAACAGGATTAATTTGAAGAGTAGGATGATATTTTTGTCTTTGTATTTCATCCTCTGCTTGGCATCGGGGAAGCTGGTAGTCAGGGGCCACCATAATCTGTGCTCAAGACCTGAGACTGGGATGCCTGGATGACTCAGTGGCTGAACACCTGCCTTCAGCCCAAGGTGTGATTCTGGAGTCCCGGGATCAAGTCCTGCATCCGGCTCCCTGCATGGAGCCTGCTTCTCTCTCTTCCTGTGTCTCTGCCTCTCTCTCTCTGTGTCTCTCATGAATAAATAAATAAAATCTATTAAAAAAATCCCAAAACAAAGCAAAAACAAACCTGAGACTTCCCAGGCCACCCCGGGGTAGTGGAAAGTTTGGCTGCACATTTGTGCAAGGACTGGTTTACTTTTTTCACCCCTAAACTCATCTCCCAAGCAGAGGTTGGAGTGGTGGCTTAGCAGGCATCCCTCCTTAGAAAGACCTGGCAAGAAAAATGGCTTCATATTTCCTCCACCTTCCAAATCTTCCTTGTTTTTGTGTTGATAGAACCCCTGGAAGCCAACTGGCAAAGGGGTCTGGAAATGTGGTCTACACATTTCCACCACCAGTCCCTCCAATTTCCCAGTAAAGGATCCTCCTAGCCACCTCCTCTTGGGCTTCAGGGGCTCAGGTAGATCCTATCAAGGGGCTCAGATGACCCAGGTCCATACAGAGCTCCATGGGACCCCGGGGGATGTGCAGCTCCTGAGGGGCCTGGCTGGGGTCATGGAGTACAGAGGTGGGAGGCAGCAGGGCCAAGGCTGGCCAGAGAGTGGGCAAGTTCAGACCAGTGGGGGTGGACCAGTGGAAGGAACAGAACATTCTGGACTGGGTGTTGACTGTGTGGGAGCAGGAGGCCAAGGCCAGCAGAGCAGAATAATGAGTGAGTCAGGAGGGAGTAGGAGCTTTAAAAATTTTTTTTTGTTTCTTTCTTTCTTTCCTTCTTAAAAAAAAATTTAATGCTTGAAGCAAGAGATCCAAACTGCAGCTACTGGAAGAACTGTCTGTGCCTCCCCTCAGACTTGGCCTTGGCCTACAGCCAGCAAGGGTTAAAGACCAGGGTCTCTGGCCTTCCCAGACTAAGCAAGGGAGGGTGTTGACTCCCTAGGGGAGGAGATGAGGTGGTATGACTGGGATTAGGGTGCTCATTTCAGAAGGTTCCAATGGAAAGAAGCAGACAGAAACAGGGATTGGCATGGCAGCATTGACCAAGAACAAGCTTGGCACACGTTCCCCAGTGGCCCACTCCCCATTCTCCGGCACATCTGGGCAGGACACAGAGGCCACCACTGAATAATAATGCCACCCGCCCTTGGGTAATTTCCCCACTTTGCAAGAAGAGAGGCCAGAATGCTGTCCTGGTGGTTAGTGGCCACCCACAGTGACCCATTCAAAGATGTATAAATGGGTTTTCAGGGGCTGGAGGGAATGCATACCCCTGGCCCTGAGGCATGTATGCTGGTATGAACATCTCTGGGAGGATGAGGGGTGTCCTGCTGATTGCTTTTGTGGCTTTGGTCTCATTGCCTAGGACCCGGGCAGTATGGTTGGGAAGGCTGGACCCTAAGCAGGTAACAGCTCTTCTGTGGAGCCACAGGGCCTCTGGGTTACCCTCCCAGTGCTGGCTTGGACCCGCACTGGCTATGGGGGGGATGGGCTAGCCTGAGGAAGGGGCCCTGGGCTTCCAGATGGAGAGAGGATGCCTGGAAGGGCTGGAGGGACGATGCCGCCACCTGGCCCTCCTCCACCAGCTTCTGGGGTCCTGGTATATTCTGGCTGTGGCCTCAGGTGAAAAGGGCTTTGCATTGGAGAAGGCCACGAAGAACATTGAGGGCGTCGTGGTGACCCTTACTCCAGAAAACAACCTGAAAATGCTGTCCTCCAGGCACAGGTGAGTGAGGTGTGCACCCTGTGTCTGGGTGGGACTCGTGCCAAGTGGGAGAGGCCTCCTGGAACAAGCCCCTCTGCAGCTACTGCTTACAGAGGGCTCACGCGTTGGTTCGTGGTACTTAAGAGCCACTGGTTCTTTGGGGCCCCTGGGGGCCCTCCCTCCCATTCCCGCAGGAGGTGGGTGCCCCAGGTACACCTGGGCCAGGCCTGGCCATGGGACGAGCAAGGACAGAGATGGTCTGGGGTATGATGGCAGCTCCACTGTGTTGGGTGAGCTCGGTCACACGGGCCATGATGGTGGTCCCAAACCCACATGCCTGGTTGTGTCCCAGTAAGGCTGGTAGAATCAGGCTTCCAAACACAGAAACTGGGCATCTGGAGAGCCTCAAGCCCTGTGCAAGGCCACTGAAAACACAGGGTTCTATCAACACAAAAACAAGGAAGATTTGGAAGGTGGAAGAAAGATGAAGCTATTTTTCTTGCCAGGTCTTTCTAAGGAGGGACACCTGCTAAGGGGGCCTCTTGTGTTTTGTTGTTGAATTTCGTCTGTTGGTCTTAGGACAGGAAGTAAATTTGCATGGCTCAGAAATCAGGGTCCCAGGGGCATACAGGGTGGGGGGTCCTCCACATAGGTGACATGCATTTGTGACGCCTAGTGGCTCCTCACACATGGGCAGGCATGTGCCAGCACACATGTGTCATGGAGCTGTGCGTCATGGGTGCTGGGATTGGTCTGTAGCCATGAACAGAGGCTCTGCTCTCTTTTAAGACATTTCAGATTTTGGGGGGTCCCTGGGTGGCTCAGCGGTTTGGTGCCTGCCTTTGGCCCAGGGCGTGCTCCTGGAGTCCCGGGATCGAGTTCTGCATCGGGCTTCCTCCATGGAGCCTGCTTCTCCTCTGTGTCTCTGCTTCTCTCTATCTGTCTCTCCCGAATAAATAAAATCTTTAAAAAAAGAAGACATTTCAAATTTTATTCTATTTTATTAAACTTTTAAAAAATTTATAGTAAGATAAACAGTGTGGAGATTGCCATGGCAATGTTTTTAAGGGCACAGGTCAGGAGCATCAGCACACTCACACTGCCCTGCAGTGGCCCCTCCGTGGACCCCAGGACGGTCCACCTTCCCAGACGGAGCCTCTGCCCCCACTGAACACTCATCCCCCCTCCCGTCCCTCCCCTTCCCCAGGCCCCAGCCCTCTCCTCCCTGCATCTGTGGGTCCGACTCCTCGGGGGCCTCCTGAGAGTGGGTCCTTCAGGGCTGGTCCCCCTGCGCTGGGCTCACCTCCCTCAGCACCGTGTCCCCCAGGTCCATCCGAGTTGTGGCAGTTGCAGGGATTCCTTTAAGGCTGACTTACATTCCATGGTGTGGACGGGCTACATGGTTGCATGGTTTCGTAAGTGATGCTGCTGTGGACTGGGTGTGCTAGTCTATGTCTGAGACTTTCCCTTCACTCCTCCTGGGCACCCTGCAGAGGGATCCCACCCAGTGAGGCGCGCTGCTCCTTACACAGCTGTGTTGGCCTCCACCATGGCCCTGCTGTTGCACAGACCCTGGCGCTCCCCAACCTTCTGTAGCTGGAGACACGGTGTGGGAGGCAGGCCCAGTGCCTTTGCCCCTGCAGGGTCCGCCAGAAGCATAGGTCTGCAGGAGCTGCCGTGCCTCCATGTCCCATGTGACCAGTTCCCAGGCCCGTGCCTGTGCCCCCCCCCCCCCATTCCCTCACTCTTGCTCCTTGTCAACTGTCGGGCTGCAGATGGCTGGGTCAGCTTCATGTGCTCCTGCAACAGCGGGAGTGACAACGGTTGCCATGCATGCCAAAATGCCTCTCCTGCTTCCTCCAACGCCAGGCCTGTCAGCATATTTTCCCCTTGGGTGTGTTTCTACTGGTCTGTAAGAACCCTTAAGTATTAGGGAGGTTCACCACCTGTCTGTGCCAACCGAACATAGTTGCTAATATATTTCCCAGTTTGTCATTTTTCTTATAACATTGATGTTGCTTTTTTTTGTCTGTCTTATTTTTGTTTTTAATATACCTGAAGGGTTTCTTTCCATTTTTGCATAGAGATGTACACAGGGTCCTGGCTTTTGTGATCCTGTCAGGTAGGAAACTGTTTCCCACGCCCTGGGCTACTGGCACCCTTGCCGCGTTTGGGAAGAAGGGAGGACCAGCTTCATTTTTTTCAGATTACTACCCAACTATCATATATCATGTATCGAATTGCCCTCTGTCCTCCACTGACTCAGGCTTTTTGCTTTATTTTTGGATTTTCTTTCTTTTTAAAATAGTTTATTTATTCATGAGAGACACACAGAGAGAGGCAGAGACACAGGCAGAAGGAGAAGCAGGCTCCCTGCAGGGACCCCGATGGGAACTCGATCCCAAGACCCCAGGGTCACGCTCTGAGCTGAAGGCAGCCATTCAACTGCTGAGCCTCCCAGGCGTCCCTAGGTCTTTCTTTCTTTCTTTCTTTCTTTCTTTCTTTCTTTCTTTCTTTCTTTCTTTCTTTCTTTCTTTCTTTTTTTTTTTAGAGATTTATTCAAGAGAGGGAGAGAGAAAAAAAAAAAAAAGAGGGAGAGAGCACTAGTGGGAGGGGCAGAGAGAGAGTCTCCAGCCGACTGCGCTAAGCAGGGAGCCTGATGCCCCATCTCACAACCATAGATCCTCTCCTGAGCCCAAACTACAAGTCGAACACTTAACAGCCTGTGCCATCCAGAGGTCTCTATTTTTGGACTTTGTATTCGTTCCTGTGATCAGTCTATTTATTTGCCAAAACCTTGTTTCACCTGCCACAACTTTATGTGGCTCTGTGTTGGTTGATTGGCAGGCTCTCACCCCTTCTCCTCCTTGTAGAATTCCCAGCTACCCTCACCGTGTTTGCTGCAGGAACTTTGGCGTCTGCTCATCTTGGTGAGCGAGGACCATCTCTGCTGCGTTTGTTCACTTGATGGACTGACTGCTCAGGGGGACATTGGCCCCTTTGGAGGGGAACATTGGCCCCTTTGGAGGCCGCGTCTCTGCTTCAAATTGCAGGCGACCCTGTGTCTGTCTGAGGCCCCTTTCTGTGCGGTTCCTGTGGGGGCAGTGTGGGAGGCCTCCTGGGAGGTGGAAGGGAGCAATTCGCACTGTGCAGGGCTGTCGTGCTCACTCTCAGCCTAGGCTGGATTCGTGAGACAAGGCTTCCAGGTCCCAGCGGCAGTGCCCTTGCGGCTCCTGGTCCTGAGTGTGGGCGATGTGTTTCCCAGGCTGGAGAGGTGTGACGTGAACGTGGTGGAGCTGCTCAGACAGAACTCGGGATGGGTGTTTGAGAACCCCGGTAAGGAGCCAGCGTCCATGGGCTCACGCAGGCCGTGGGGATGCGCTTGCCTCCTTGGCTGTCCCTGATGGGTTCTGCTGCAGGGGTTCTGTGGGAAGGGCAGTGGGCAAGTCCCTCTCTCAGACTTCCTCGAGGAAGTGAAAGGACTCATTTGGTCAGAGGTTTGAGCCTGATATTGAGGTTGGAGGCCTCGACCTGGCGTGCCCAGCTGGGACCCCGGGCCTCCCTCTGAGGTGGGACAGGACTAGGGGGGTGAGACACTCACCCGCCGGCCACCTGTCCCTGAGGCCCCGGTGAGGTGGCTCTGGGGACCAGGGGACAATGCCCGGGAGTGCTCTGCTGGATGGCGCTCCGGTGAGATCAGGTGCTACCCTCGGGGGTACGTGTTCCCCAGCCCTAGGCATTCTGGACTACCGTGTGCTGGGCACCAACTTCAGGGATTATGCCATCGTGTTCACCCAGCTGGAGTTCAAAGACGAGGCCTTCAGCACCGTGGAGCTGTACAGTAAGGCGGAGACCAAGGGCAGCCACATCCCCCAGGGTTCAGGGCGGAGAGGGGCTCCAGAGCCTCAGGTGGCAGGAGGGGTGGCTGGGGCATGGCGGCGCATGTGGCGAGAGCTCCCCTTCTGTCCCGCAGGCCGGACGGAACTGGCCAGCCAGGAGGCCATGAGCCTCTTCACCAGGTGGAGCTGGGGCCTGGGCTTCCTGTCCCAGCAGCAGGCGTCTCTGCAGCGGGACTGTGAGTGTCGCCCAATGCTTAGGGGCCAGCATCCTATCAGGGGAGGCTGTGGACAGACCCCGTCCCCGGTGCTGGGGGTGCCAGGCGAGGCCCAAACATCCTCACGGCTTCTCTTGCCCCCTAGTCACCTGTGTGCACAAGGTCTTCCAGGTAAGCCGCTTTCCTGAGCATCACCCAGATCCCACCCCCTCCCCCCGAGCTCTGCAGCCTTGAAGGGGACCGGGGTGGGGGCAGACACCCCTCGGGGGAGAACTTAGGGTCCCCCAGTGCTCTTCTTGGTTTTCAGTGAGTGCTTCGAAGTCCTGGGAGGACTGTGCCCGACGCGTTCTGGTGAGGCTGGCTGGGCGCTGGCCTCCTTGCTCGGCCGCCTGGGTGTTGGGTGTGGGGCGGACTGCTGCCAGGGACTCTCACTGCATTTCCCAATAAAGTGACTCCACAAACCCCTGCAGATGCCTCTCTCCTGTGTGCCAAGGGTGGACAGCAGTGTCAGCTGGGGCACTGCCCTCTTGGGGCTCCAGTCGGTGCAGACTGAGGAGGATGGGTGGGGTAGGCCCACTGATGGCGGGACACATGGTGCAGAGCCAGCTCTGAGGCAGGGTGGCTGTGCTGTGCTTGTGTCCCTCAACAGAGTCCCTTTGGGGGACTCAGGAGTGGGGCCTGGGCTGGGGACAGCCGCTCCTCATGGAAGTTGCTGCAGTCCCTGGGCTGACAGGAGGATGGTCTGAGTCAGAGTACACCCTGTGGAGTTTGGACAGGTGCAGGCTGATGGAACTGGGCATGGTGCCCACCAGGGAGCTTGGCTGGGGGGCCCCGGCGTCCAGGGCACAGAGCACGGCTGTCCCAGCCTGGGGCTTTGGAGCAAGGGTGTAGGGCATGATTCCCGAAGACCTGAGCCCTAGGTCCTCCTGTGGTCTGGTGGGGCCCTGCCTCAAGTCCTGGCAGAAGTCCGGCCATAGGAGAGGTGCGGTGCGTGGGGAGGGGGTGGGCGTGTGCATACATTAGAATGTGCGCTTGCACACAAGCATACACACGCATGCACACATGTACACACGTGTGCACACGCGCACACATGCACGCTCAGCGGCCTGTAATCAGCACCCGCTCAGGTCAGGGGGAGGACAGCCCTGGTTGGTGCTGGCGCCATCCGAGCCTTGTCTTTAAGTGCTCTCGCTCCTCACATCCAAGGATCCCTGTGGGGGATCCCTGGGTGGCTCAGCGGATTAGCATCTGCCTTCAGCCCAGGGCGTGATCTTGGAGTCCTGGGATCGAGTCCCACATCGGGCTCCCTGAATGGAGCCTGCTTCTCCCTCTGCCTGTGTCCCTGCCTCTGTGTCTCTCATGAATAAATAAAATCTTTTTTTTAAAAAAAAGAAAAGGATCCATGTGAAGTGACTCACAGTGACACTCTCTGGCCATGGGCCTCTCTTCCAGGGGCTAGGTTGGGAGGCCCAGGGGTCTCTCATGGTGCCCCGAGGCCCTGGGGGGTGACCTTGGTAGCACTGGGCAGGCTGAGCACCTGGGCCAAGAGCGGGTCCAAAGCCCCTGTCCCTCCAATTGGCTCACCACAGGCTGGTGCAAGGCTCTGGGTTGGCTGGACACCCACGGCAGGCTCAGGGTCAGTGGGTGGGGAGATTTATACTCAGTGCCCCAATGGCCGAGGAAGGTGGGTGAAGATGGGGCCTGGGAGCCTGCTGTCCGGGCTGCTCTTGGCCCTTGTGCTGGCGACAGGTTCCAAGCCACAGGAGCAGCTGCCCAGGGAGTCCCACATCCTCAACTGGAACAAGGTGAGCCTTGTGCCCGTCATCTCCAAGCCAGACACCATGGCCATCGGGGCTGGGATGCAGCATGTGTGGCAGCTGGAAGATCACTCTCTGACAATCTTCAAAAGGCTATCCTGGGATGGTGGGCAGTACCTCGAGGTTGGCAGGAGTTTCTGGCACAGGCCTTGGCCAGCCCAGTGGGTCTGTCACCCTGGCCTCACCCAGGGAGCTGATGGCCCTGCAGGAGGGGTCGGGCAGAGGGCCCCAGGCAGATGCAGCCTGGGGGCACCTGGAGATGTCAGGTAGGCAGAGGTAGAATGAGCAGAGCCTGTTCTGGAATAATAAGATCACCAGTGGCTGGAAGGTTCTGGTGAGGGTGGCCGAGGACCCGGCTGAGTGGACTGCGGGGGTGCCAGGGACTGTGGGTTTGTGGCAAGAAGTCAGGGGGACAGCGCTGCAGGGCCGAGCTGGAAGAAAGTTAGAGCACACAGTGTCCACAGCCCAGCCCCCAGGGCCCTGGCCAGCGTGTCATCTGCCTGCCTAGGCCTGGGTGAGCAGCCAGGGCCCCTGTGCCCTGGGTTCCTGGGGGCCTGGCTGGGGGCTTGGGAAGGGACAGCTTCCCCAGCATGCTCTCCACAGTTTTCAGGCTTCTGGTACATTCTGGCTGTCGCCTCTGATGACCAGGGATTCTTGCCAGGCAGAGAGCGGAGGAAGCTTGGGGCATCCTTGGTGAAGGTCCACAAAGCCGGCCAGCTGAAGGTGGTGCTGGCTTTCAGCCGGTGAGCAGACAGGACAGGGTGCTTGGCGCAGCCCTCACAGAGCCCTGGACACAAACAGCCTGGGCCATCTCCCCATCCAACAGGGGGAGGGAGTGTGGGGCAGGGCAGACCCAGGGTCATCTGGAAATCTAATGGGGATGGTCCCTGCTGCCCTGAACCCTGTCTTGCCCCTAAAATTCAAGGTCTGATTTTGGGAGAGGCCAGCACAGTACACGGGGCCCCTGGTGGACAGAGGGTGTTTGGAGGGTTTCCTAAGCTGGGGGACTGGCCCTGATCCAAGCTGGAACGTTCCACAAAAAGAGGCAACAAAGGGCTCCTGCCTGCCCCCTAGGTCACAGGGGTGCCAGGCACACACGGTAATTCTGCGGAAAGATAGGAAAAAGGCCATGTTCAGGAACACCTGTGCGTATGACAGCCTGGGGCATGGAGAGGTGACCAGGGTGGGAGCATCCATAGCCTCATGGCCACAGACCCCTGGAAGGTGGGCGGGGGGCCCACGGGGCCCAGGACCCTTGGCCTGGGGTGGTGGTGGTGGGGTTGGCCCTGTGTAGGCCTGAGGGGCAGCCCTGTGCTTCTCTCCTGGCCAGTGAAAGGGGTGGAGGGCTTCCACGTGCTGTCTACCGACTACAGCTCTGGTGTGGTCTACGTGCGCCTGGGCCGAGCTGGCCACGCCTCCAGGACCCTGCTGTTCTTCAGTGAGTCCAGCACTGACATCCGGGTCATGGGGGACAGAGGAGCGACCAGCTCAGGGGAGGGGCAGGAGGGGAGCTCTGCATCACAGTGCCACAGGCCGTGCAGCGTCCACAAGGGACATGGATTCTCACAGCTCAGTGAGCCTGATCGGTGGACAGACGGTTGCCCTCTCACTGTGTGGAGTCGGGGAGAGCGCCCTGGTCTCTCCCTCTTCCTACAAGCGCACAAATCCCATCAGGGCACCCCGCTGACCCCACACACCTCCCAAGGCCCTGACACCTCCCGCTGTCACTCCCAGCAGCTGGGGGCATGGCCCTTGCGGTGCACGCAGATGGCGGGGCTGGGCAGGGGTTTAAGTGGGGGGTGGCAGCGATCAGGGTCTTGTGGGGAGACCACATAGGCAGGGCCACAGCAGGGGTAAGTGGGGGAGGCCAGTGCAGAGGAGGAGCCCAGGGGGTGAGAGACCAAGAGTGGGACTGGCCACCCGCATGGAGACAGAGCCCCTCCACATCCCAGGCTGAAGGCAGGATCAGGAAGCAGGGACAGGAGGTGGAGGGCAAGGGGCAGCCATGAGGGTCTGTCCAGGGAGGTCTGTCCAGGGAGGAGGCAGCACAGTGGAGGGGCCATGTGAGCAGGGAGGGGGCAAGAGGACACCTCCCCATCGGTCCCGCTGCTGCCTACCCTGCAGCATCCTTGCTTCCCTGCCCTGCCAGCTTGGGGCGGGGCGGGGGGGTGCACTGCAAGTGCCTGTGGCTCGGAGCTATGACTTCTGACATCAGGATTCTACTCCCCAACTGCAGGCAGGCAGAGCATGTCCAGCTTCCCGAGCATGAAAAAATTCGTAGACATATGTGAGATTCTGGAGCTTGCAAATGGTGTGACTGTCCTCCCAAAAGACGGTAACACGCGGCCACGAGCCCTTCTGTGCGGGTCTACACCGCGCATGGCACCCAAACATCCCCTGAGAGTGGACTCTCGGGGCAGAGGGGGGAGGGTGACAGGTGTGCCCGACGGGGGAGCTCCCCCATCACCGTCCCTGCCCTAGGCACTCCCCCTGGTCTGGCCCCCGTGGTTGCCCAGCTGTGCCCTCTGCAGAGCCCTGGACCCACACCTGCAATGCCAGGAAGAGCCAAGGCCTGCTGTGGGCAGCCTGGCCCCGCAGAGCAGCCCCCCAGGACCTGTCTCCCTCCTGCAGCCTCCTGTGCGCACACCATCCGGCCCTGAGCACCATCAAGTCGTCCACTCGCCCTTTCCGTCAGGGCGCCATTGCTGGGCCCCCTAGACCTCGGGATCACTGACCAAGACTGCAGGTCCTCACATCCACCAGCTTCTTCACACGCATTTGATGACCCCAGGCCATTGAGGGGGTGAAGTCAGCCCCAAAGGGATCCTTTATGATCATCAAGAGACAGGGATGGGGGGCAGGTGCTGAGCGGGGACAGCTGTCTCATGCTCCCAGATTACATGGTGGAAAGAGGCTGCCACCTTACCGGCTGCGAAATAGAGCACGGCTGGTCCAGTGTCCTCCATCCACGTGCCTTCTCTGTAGTGAGCCTGCGCCACCAGTCTCCGTGCCCCTGACGTCCTGCACTTTCTCAGGAAGTCATTCACTTATTCGCCAAACGTTCATAAGTGCCTGCGACAGGCCTGACATTGCCAGCTCCTGGGGAGAGGGCTGTCAGCAAAATAGGTGCCACCGCTCCAGGGAGCTGATGCCTTCCAGGACAGGCATGCAGCTGCCTGCACACAAGACTGCAGAGAAGCGTGTCTGGACAAACAAAACAGTGGCTGGTCTGACTCACTCCAGAAGGGGCAGGAGAGGTCAGGGAGGGCTTCTCGGGGGAAGGGACGCTCAAAGGAGGGGTGAAGAAGTGGCAGAGAAGTAAGTTTGGTGGGGCTGCGGGAGCAGGGCCTCCCTGAGAGAGGAAACAACTGGTTTTGGAAGGCCGCAGAGAGGGGTGAGGCGTGGGGGAGGGAAGGCAGGCCACGGGCGGTTCAGGTGAGGAGAGGGAGCACCGGGTGCAGGCTGGAGGATACATCTGGAGTCCATGGGGGAGCTGGAGCCCAGAAGACAGAACGAGGCAGGAGCCGGGCATCAGGAGTCACCAGGCGTGGTTAGGGCCACCCACAGAGGAAACAGGATTGAATCAGATTGCTGTCACCAGGGCACCGCCACCCATGGGATCCCTGTGCTGGGAACCATCAGAAACGTATCTGGCTTTCCCATCTGGGGTCAGCGTGGGCTCATGGGCTGGCGGGGTACTGTGGGGAGCAGGGTGGTTCTTCGCAGAGCTCACTCAGACGTTTTGGGGTTGGGAGGAGGTGACTGGTTCGGAGGGCTCTGCTGCCCCCGCCCACTGCCTGCACCCACTGCCCCTGAAGACGGCCGCGTCTTGCATGTGACACAACAGCGATGAGGGCACAGCGACTTGCAGGGCTCGGCACAGGCACATGGGCATTTCTGCTTCAGCTGCTGAGCAAAGCAGGTCGCAGAGCCAGACCTGAAGTCCTGAAGAGGCCAGGAGATGTCCTGCGTGTCCTTAGTGGGACAGACCGCAGGCTCCTGGCTGTGACAAGCTCTGCCCTGAACCCACGTATACAGCATTGTGCCCGGTCCCCCAGGGGGCACCACCCTGCTCAGGTCAGGGGTCCTCACACACCTCCACCCCGGGGCCCCTCATACCATCTAATGGGGGGCAGTAGGATGCCATCTGGGGTCTGTGACCTACAGAGGCCTCCCTAGACCACACAGTGTGGGGTGCAGGGCAGTCACCCCCATGGTGGCTCTGGGGTCCGGCGGAGGCAGCCTGGGTTCCTGGTTCCTACAGGAGAGCTCCCCGAAGCTTGCAGCCTGAGTGGCTCCTGGTGTGTTGTTCTCAAGCTCCGCCCTCTAAGACCCCCCTCCCCTGACTTTCCATTTAGGTGGCTTTTAGCGCTTCGGGGGCAGGCACTGGGGGGCACGCCTGTGCAGGGCAAGCCCTTCGGAACCATGCACATTTCCTTCAGTGCTGTTGTCAACACTGCTCTTTGAAGCATTGGGCTTTCTGTGGATGCCAGTCCTTTTCTTTCCAGCTGCCAGAAGCCACAGTTCCTGAGGCCACAGCCCCTTTCTAGAGATTTTCTTATTAGAGCTTGGCTATCAGCCCCCTGAGGGACAGGGTCTCCACACCCTAGGTGCCCTTTTGCACAGCTCGAGAACTGACTGTGGCATGCCGCAAGTCCTCCAGAGTCCACACAAACACATGAGCCTAACCCAGTACTCACGAGCAGAATCCCGGCTCAGCTCAGCTGGGACCCTCTGCCTCTAGGGCCCCCAGGAGGCCAGGGTTGCAGCCTCCACTCAGGTTCGACTGGGGCAGGGTCTGTCTCTGAGAGCACCCACCTGCTATTGGCAAGATTTGGGTTTCAGTGGGGGTCTCAAGACTTTTCTGTCTGTTAGCCTGGACCCTCTGTAGGTTTTTTGCACTTGGGGTCTCCCAGGGCAGCTCATACTATCTGATCTCGCTTCTCCAGAGCACTGGATCAGAGACACACAGACACTCAGAGTCAGAGACAAAGAATGAACACAGGAGAGAGGGAACCAGGAGACATCACAGATATTCTTCAATCAGCCTGGAAATGACATCCCATCACCCGGCCCTATTCCCTCAATTAGAGCCCAGTCCCCCAGACCATCCACCCTGGAGGGGATGGGATTCCACAGGGATGTTCCTGAGGACTCGGAATGCTGGGAGCCACGGTGGGGACTGCCCAGCACATAGGCGCAGACAAAGCCCCGAGACCTGAACTTAAACCTACTGGGGGCCCCTGGAAGTGAGTGTCCCCAAGGGACAAGGTGTGACTCCATTCTTTTCAACCTCCCTGTGGGGCTGGGACACAATCAGGAGGAACAGGCTTTGCCTGGACCCCAGAGCAGACCCAGGCCCCTCTGAGCTATGGTCTATGTCTGCGCAGCCACCTGTACAAGAAGAGTCGCCACCTGTGCAGGGAGAGTTGGCACCCATGCAGGGAGAGCTGGCACCTGTGCGGGGAGAGCCTGAAACTGTGCAGGGAAAGCCCCACCCCTAGGCCTGGACAGAATGTTTCATCCCGTCCTCCTTTATGTTTTCTCTCTGGTACATTTAAAAGTTATTTTATTTTTTCACATCTTATACAGTATATATTATTTGTTTTAAATAAAATTTGGTGTTTTTAATTAAGGAAATCATGAGCATTAAGTATATTCACAACGCTGTGCCACCACATCACAGAACATTGTTCCAGAATATCTCAGTCCCCAAAGGATACCCTGACCTAGAAGCCCTCCCTGCCCATTTCTTCCCCAGCCCAGTCCTTGGAAACCCTCAGCTCCTTCCTCTCTCTGTTCCTTGTGCTCATCCATCCACCCACCTGTGCCCGCAGCAGCAGCGTGTCTGCCTCTGGGAGAAGAGGTGCACCCCAGACCCCCTCCCTGCCCTCAGGGCTACACCCTGACCTACGGGTCAGCATCTCACCCACAGTCAGCAAGTACAGGAGAGAGAGCTAGAGCATCTCCAACACCAGACTTTGCATGAGCTGTGGAGTGGAGCCAGCGCTGTTGTCAGCTATGATTTAGAACGATCTAAAGCACCAGAACTTGCACCAACTCTGGGCTCGAGGCAGCTATGGAATTAGCTCAAAGACACCGCTATCTCACCTCAGAGAATGCAGCCTCTCCAGCTTATCCTGGACCCCCTCAAAGGTAAAAGAAGCTCTGACTTTAATTGCAGAGCCAAAACCATCTTCCCCACCAGTTCTCCCACTCATTCTGGCACCATTGCCAGAGTAAGAGCCAGCCCAAGATGGAAAGCCAATTCTAGAACCAGCCCTAGCACTGCCGGGGAAGGCTGAGGGGGTTTTCCTAGAGAGGGCACATGGAGAGACGGCCAGGTTGGTGATGTTCTCTCCTCTTGCTGCCTCAGCACCACCTCCAGATGGAGACCACTGTACCAGGGCTGGTAAACCCCGCAGAGCCCGATGCAGCTGCAGAAGCAGCTACGGAACCAGAGCCGCTCCAGAGCTAGAGGCGCTTCCATCTCCTGCCGTAGCGCCTTCCTCAGGAGCTCCAGAGCCTGAGCCAAGTGTGCACCAGGGTTGGGAGGCCAGCTGCACCTACAGCCAGCGTCTGCCTCAGCCCCACAGGGAGACCTGGAGCAGGCACAGGAGCGCTTGCCACCCGGTGAGCTACAGCAGGTTCTTGTACCAGCAGCAGAGCGAGTGCACCTCCGCCTACAAAGTCAGAGCCGCTGTGAGCACGTGCTCTTGGCACCAACTAAGGACTCATGTCCACCCTGGCACCTGCCGTAGAGCTAGAGGTGGGCAGGCTACGGATAGAGGGCCTCCAGTGGACACTTGGGCCAGCTCCAGAGCAACAGTCATCTCTCCACTGGTTCCTGCACTTCACGGCCCCTCGGCACCCCATCCCTGCACCGACAGCTGCCTAACTCCCTTTGGGGCACATGGGGTCTCCTCTTCTCTCTGACACTGGACTTGGGGACTGTAGCACCCCCGGTCCAGTCCCCACGTGCCACAGGGGGACTGAGGTGTAAGGCCCATATGTGAGCAGGTGGCCCCAGGGGTGGGTCAGGGGAGGACACAGGACCCAGGGCCTTGAGGCAGAGAACGTCTCCAGGGCAGAGAGGAACCACTTCCTCTCCAGGCACCCCTGTCCATGGGCGGCCACAGGGTCAGCACTGTGGGGACCTGTCCCAAAGGCCCGACCACAACTCCACGTGTGGGCTCAGCCCTCCTGGCACACGGGGTCCACACGAGACACCTAAGGCTCAGAGGGCAAGTGCCATCCGGAGACTCACAGCCAGGAGGTGGGTGGGGAGCTGCTGTGGGGTCAAGGGTCCTGCTCACCTTTTCAGGCAGCAGGTGCAGGAACCCCAGGAGGATGGCTTCATTGGGAGGTGCACAGGGACAGATGTCCCCGGAAAGGTCACTTCCCGGGCTCCGGCAGCTCCCAGGGTGGCAGCACTGACTGTCCACACCCTCTGTCCTCATCCATGTGCAGGGCTGACTCATTTTCACAACGGGGCCAAGCTGTGGACACAGAAGGGACAGTTCACAGCAGAGAAGCTGTAAGATATTCCTGTCACCTCCTGAAGAGCAACAGTGTGTGAACAATTGATTCGGATCATCCTTACACGTATGTGAAGAGTGATTTGTACCTGGTCAGGACTGGGGCTGGACCGGAGTGGGGAGGGTAGGGGTGGACGGAGGGAGTGGCCCAGACTCCTTGGGTTGAGGCCATGGCCACATGAGGGGCAAAGCCCTTGGGGAACCCCAGGGAGTCAGTCTCCTGGATGACCTGGGGGCAGGAGCCCCTCCCTGGCCCTCCCTAGGCCCAGTTCTGGGGACTCCTCATGCCCACCCTCACCCTGATGTTGCTCCGGCCCTTCCTGGGGTCATGGTGCACCTGCCCCACACCTGCAGTAGGAAAATCATGGTCCCGTTGACCAGTCTCCTCCCAGGTTCTTCCATGGGGCTCTGCAAAGACAGGGAGCAGCCCCGGGCCCCCCAATGTCACATCCCTGCCCGGCTATAGTCACTGCTCTGGTGCCACCCCCACTGCTGTTTCCACCTGAGACACAGCCTGGTGTGTGGACAGCCCTCATCTGGGATGTAGCCAGATACACCTATAGGCTTGGGACCAACCCTGGGGAGAAGGATGCCACCCAGCCCACCCCTTCCACCCAGCCTGCCTTGACCTGGGAGTAAACATGAGCCCCTACCAGGCCTCTGACCTCTCGTCAGCCTGCTCCTGTTGGGGGTGAGCCCACCCCAGGACCTTCCCTTACACACACACACACACACACACACACACACACACACACACGTGGACATGCAGAGGAGGAGGGAGCTGGGGCTGCTCCGTCGGATCACAGTGGTGTCTGGCTGGACTGACACCTCTGGGTCCCTCCAGGCACATGGCCAGAGGGTCTGGGGTGCACCCTGACCCAAAGTCTGTGGTGCAGGAAAGGCTCTCACTGAGGCTTTCCTGAGACCACATCGTTGGGACCTCGGGATACAGCATGAGAGCAGGTGTTTCACGGGAGCATCTCCAGCCAAGTGCATGGGGTAGGTAGGAGGCTGACTCTAGAAGGCGGGGAACCGTGTGCCCTTTGGGCACCCTGGGGCCCCATTGGCCCTCAGCCTGGCATGTCTCCCCTCCCCATGCTATGGTCCAGGCAGGTTCTCAGGAGTCAGTGCCCTCACCCCACAGTCCAGCTGCCTCCAAACTCTTCCATCTTTCCCCCTTGTCACCTCCAGGGGGCCTCCTCTGACCCCACCTGGGGGCTAGTTCATGTGGGGGTGTGGGCGCCCTTGCACAGGGTCGTGTGTTTGTGCCCAGGGGGTGGGGGAGGGAATGCCCCAGGGGAAGGGTACCACGTGGAGTGATGCACAGGATTCTCTCCAGGACCTTAGGGGCTCTGGTTCCCACAGGACCATCCTCCCTACCTCCCCCCGCCCCCTCTCCGGAAAGGTGAAGTCCTGGCCTAGGAAGAGGACCCTCCTGCTCCTCCAGCCTCTGCTCACCGGAGGGTCCCAGGCCAGTCCCCCCTCCCCTGGCCTCAGGTTCCCATTATCCCAGGAAGGGCTGGAGGAAGAACTTCCTAAGCGGGCTCGGCCTCAGCCTATCCAGGCAGCTCCCACCTTTTGGAGGGTTTGACGCAGAGCACTCTGGTTGGGCGCTGTTGTCCGACCAACGGCAGGAGGGGTAGGAGGCCCGTGGATCCTGCGCAGGCGCACACGGACCAGCAGAAAGCGCGTGCACGGGACCTCACCTCGCAGCGGGCACGCGCACGGCCAAGGGGTCGCTGAAAGGTTGGTCCCGCGTGTCCCTCTCTCCCTGGCCTGCTCGGTGACCCTCACATCCTCTAGGCGGGGCCACCTCCAGTCCTGCCAGGCAGGGCCGCTGGCCTGAGTGGACATGGAGACCTGGGGACAGAGAGACAGGAAATGCCCCCCACCTGCCGTCCTGGCCCCCACGTGCCACTCCAGGGTTCA